TAAAAGGTTGCCTGGAAGGAACTGTTTCTACTTGAGGCCTTGGACAGCCGCTGTGTGGGGGGGCAGCCTTTGCGTGGGCCTGGTTAACAAACGGTCCACACGGGGTCAGAGCATCTACTTGCATTTCTAGTCCCCGTTAGAGAACGACAGCTCCCAAACTTTTGTGGGAGGAGGAAATGACAAATCAAGATAACAGCTATGTTGGTAATGATGTGCTCTTGCGAAATTCTGGACACCAATGGCTAGCAAGACAAACAGCGACAGCATTGTCTGGTCACAAGGAGACCAAAACAAGCCCCACAAAGAATTAAATGATACGTGACTTTTATTTTTTGGTCCTTTGTTTTGCAAGGAACCCCAAAGCGACTCCTCAGCCTGACATTTTCAAGATACCGATGATGTACAAATGGATTAATTCCATACACAGCCGACTCCCTGGGCTTCTCTATGCGCCGCATGCATTGTGTGCTCCTAATCCCTGACTCATGGAAGTTTTCCGGGCCTTTTGCCATGTCATCTTCCCGAGCCTCTCCCAAGTTCTGCAGTCATTTTTGTGGCCGTTTTTGGACTGCGATTTTCCAAAATGGTGGCCCTGTTCACTGGGGGGCATCATGTAAACTTGTGTTTCTACCCCACGCTGCAGCATCCCCTTTCCGTCATATAATGGAACTTGTAGAACCGTATAGAAAGGCAGAAAGGACATTCCTTGGGGGTGGAGGGGGGAACTAATCTCCAAAGTTGTTCTTCCTCTTGCAGAGAAAACAGAAGGCAAAGCCCCGATCATGAACCAGCTTGTAGAGAACCTCTCAGGTCGAGCCATGCTTGTAAGAGCAGGTTTTGCAAAGCTGTGCTCTACAAGTCTCCAGTGGGGCGTTCTGGGTGATTGGATTAGGTTCTGACCTACGTTAAGAAACTTACCTCGGTCTTAGACTGAAAGATTATGGCTCCCCCCAAGAATTCTGAGCTCTGCAGTTTGTCGAGGGTGCTAAGATCTCTACAGCTTCCTTTGCAGAGCTGCAACTCCATAACGCTGCGATAGGGCCCCGACTTGGTGTGCAGACAGCTCAAGCTTCAGGAAGGCTCTGGCCGGCAGGGTTGATCGGGGTCCTGAATTTATTCCAGCCTGAGAGCCAAATTGCACTTTGGAGAAGATCTCAGGGGTTGCATTCCAGTGCTGGGTGGCAGAAAACAAAATACAAAAAAGACTAGTGTCTTTTGGTCCGTTGGCATTTTGGCCGTTAAAATGGGAAGCCACAGAAAGGGGGGAGCCTCCCGATATGGGAGAGCAGGGGAACGGGCATGGCTGAGGGGAGGGGAGGGCCCCTGGGGTTGGTTCTGGCCCCTTGGCCCGAGGTTGCCTCCTCCTGCTGTTAGAGCTACTGGGTGGATCGCTGCCCTGGCTCAGTGTCCATCTTTCCTCTGCTCCAGGTAACTTCCTTGGCACGTCCTTGGATAATTGCACATCTGACAGGTGATCGGTGGTGGGCATCGCCCGCCACAGCTGCATGGCACTTATTTCCACCACTCCCACCCAGAAAATAGGCTGGAGAGAGTGTGTGCTTGGCGAGACGGCCGCCGAGCGCACAAGGCCTGCCTTTCACTGGTGTGCCGGCCGCTTCAAGGCGGCTGCCTGGGGATTTCGGTGGGGGCGTCTGTTTTTGCTTTGGCTCTGGAATGAATGTTTATGGCAAAGTGAACCTTCTGGAAACTCATGCCAAGAGTGCCTTCCCCTTTGAATTCTTGACCGTGAAACATCTGCATTGAATCCAGCTGGAATCCAGCATGCGGATGGGGGCGTGTGTGTGGGAATTCAGTCTGTATAACTGCCTTTCCCGCTCTGCCTTTGAGCGATTTTTGAAACCTACCTATTGAAATATAATTGACTCTTTCTTAGGGGACCCTCAGTGCTCCGCCTGAAAAGTGAAGCCCCCGCAAGCATGTTTACATTTGGCTCTGAGCTGGCACTGGGAATAAGGTGTTTTATCCCCATGTAATGGGTGTGGGTCTGGAGCGTGTGTGGAGTCACTTGGAAAGCAGGCCAGAAGTAGAGCTGCCTTTTCAGTGCTCTTTAAAGAACGAAGCAACAGGAAGAGAGTTCCAGGGTGAATGGGCGGAATTAGAAACATTTCAGGTAATTCTGGGGTGTCCCTTGCTGAATTTTAAAAATGTGTGTGTGGAAATAGAGCCACTTTTGACCACTGAGCAGAGGACTACAGTTCCCATCAAGCCTGACCGTAGAGCATGCTGGTCAGGGCCGTTGGGAGATGAGTAGTGCGTTGTCACCAGCTTGAGGAAGGCTGAGCCGGCATTTGATGGGCATGTCGTGAGCGGAGCCGGCTGGAGCCGTGGGTCAGACTAGATGGCCCAGGAGACCCCTTCTGACTCGCTCTGTTTCTATGTTTCTGTTTCCCAGGGGTGGACATAGGTGCAGGAGGGAGGGAGGGCGGGAGGGAGTTGCGTGCTGCCAGGTCAGCTTTATGTGAGTATCTAATGGAATCATTTGTCCCACTCCCTCGGTCAAAAATGCTCTTGGAAGGACTTGCTAATCAGGCAAGGTTATAAACTAAGAAGGCAGGGCACAGAAGGAAAAAGGGAAGCTGAGGGAAGAGGAAAAGTTGAAAGTCTTTCAGCTGGGGAGGGATGATCCCGCTTCCCTTCTGCCTCCTGCTGCTGCCAGAGCGACCCTTTGTGCTGACAGTGGAGTGGGGAGAAGTCCCCTGGGCGGAGGTCTTCAGAGGGCTCGTGCCATGTCCTGGCCCTTTTGGGCCCCTCTGCTCTGCATGGTTAGAGGACGGTGCTTCGGCCAATGGGCCCCCCTTTGTGTCCCCCTCCAGCCACCGCCTTCCCTCTTTCTGGGAGATCCAGAGCTGCGGGGCCACTGCAGACTCTGGTGCCTGTGCGGCCAGAAGTCCAGCATCTCCAAGAGATGGCAGGTTCCCCGTGTGTTTGGGAGGTGTCCGTGCACTCTGGTGCTCTGCCGTGTTGTGGACGGGGTTCTGGACCACTGCCCATGAAGACTGGGCAATGCTGGGACTCGGAGTCCAGTCCCCCAAGCGTCTGGAGAGTTCCAGGGAGAGGAAGGCGGTGGGATCGGATCTTTGCAGCTGCTGGCTTCCACAGTCCTCACCGGTCGCTGGGGCTGTGTAGGTGCAGGAGTTACGGACCACGTGAAGTTGGCGCAGCCTGAAATTCAAGATTCGTGGCTCAAAGAGGCATTTGTTCACGGAGTACGTTACCGTTCTGGGACCAAACTATTTGTTTTCATTTCTTTCACTGAAGAAATTTGCCGAGTGTTTCATTCCCTTTAGCTAAGTCTGTGTGATTGTATGAAAAGCATTTCCTGCCCCTACATTTTGGGAGGCGGGGGTCAGTGCTACGCACAAAGCCAGCTGCTTTCTGTTAGATTTTGTTTTCCTTTTGCAAACAGCACATGATTCTTCCCCCAAGTTTGCTGCTTGTGAACTTCGGGTAAATTGCTCGTTGGTAGAGACATGTCATGAAATAATAACCTGTTATTGTATCTGATGCCAGTGTTGTAAGGCAGGAATATTGGCCAAAACGGACCTTTCTCTGTTCTGCTACTACCGAGTAATCTTGGATTTGCTGGCGTGTTGCTTGGCAAAGAGCCCCCTCCAGGGGACGGGTGACCCCAGACGGATCCAAACAGAATGTTGCATCGGTATTGAATGTCACCTGGCTGGAAAGCCAGACTACCCTAAGCCCATCACGATCTTACCACAGCCTTTCCCAACCCGGCCCCTGCCGTGTGTGTTGGAGTACGACTCCCATCACACTGACCGCAGATGATGGGATATGTAGTCCAAACCATCTGCCTTGGGGAAGTCTCCCTTCCTCTTCTTGTGATGGAAAAGAGAAAGCTTGGCCTCTCAATTTGACCCCGTCAAGAATCGTGTCCGCTGTGAGAGCACAAGAGGAGTGTGGCTGTCAGTATCACAACAGCAACTGCTTATGCTTCCTGCGGTCACCCTGCACCTTGCCAAATGGGGAGCTCTTTGGTTCTTAAAACATGCTAATTAATTTTATGGAAAGAAAATTCATTTCTGTGTTCGGAGCCTACCCTACTGTCCTTCTGTCTTAGGCACTTTCAGTCACCAAGGGTTAGTCCAGTCCTGAGAAGAAAGGAGATCTAGGATTCACAAATTTGAGTGTGGGGGCAAGGACTGTGTGTAGACAGAAAGGGACAGCTGAGTTTGGCAGCTGTCGTGGGGGCACCAGGCCTGATCCTGATTAATCCGCTCAAAGTTTTGCTGCGTAACCTCTACCTAATTTGAGTGGGAAAGCACTGGGTTTTTCATTTTTCTTTCCCCCGCAACAAAACTGAGGACTAGAATCTTTCCTAAACAAAGAAACAAAGCAAGCTTGAAGGCTCAGACTGGTGTGTTTTTATGCAAACTGGTATATCATGTGTTACGGGTGATATTCTCTGTTCGCAGCTAACTTCATGGGGGCATCTCCTTGGCGCAAAGGTTTGTCAGAAAGAAACCTGATGAAACTTTACACAGCAAAAAGTCTTACAGATCTCGGCCTTTCCTGGCAGTCTGTGTGAGTTGGAGGACTTCCCCCACTTCTGAACACGCACAGGACTCTTTCTTACAGCACAAAACACGACTGTAGAGCTGGATCTGCACAGCTCTTCCTGGAGTTGTGAAAAACAAACTCTAGGCTTCTTTCCTCTCATGCTAACATTGATCCCAGCTTCCTGAGGAGTGAGATGTGTCCCCTTGAGCAGTTAGTCTGTTTGTTAGTTTTGGCTGGCAAGCAGGGTGTTATTGAAAAGTGAGGAAAAGACCATTTGGCTGCGGCTACAAATATATCTGTGAGATCCCTGTTTTCTATGTACATGGTGGGTCTGTCGAGGGACATCCGGGAGAGCTTTGCTGCTTTGCTTGTATGAATTATCCCAGTCCCTCGCCAGTGCTTAGGTGTGCCTCGCCTTGGGCATAACCTTCTGTCTTTTCTTCGTTTCTGGGGCATTTCAGCAACTGTATCATGGCGGCCAGCCCAGCGGATCTGATAGAGCCATTCGATGGGGAAGAAACGGGTGAGGAACTTTCACGTAAGTATCCCCATATTAGCTGTTTTCACGATATTCTGCGCATAAAGGTGGGCTGCCGGCAGGCTCAAAGCTCCAGCTGAATACTGTTTTGCCAGACTCAATCCATTTTCACAATTTTGCCCCTTGGCCACTCATTCCTGCTTGAGCTGAGACTCTGGCCAAGGACTGCTTCATTTCCTCTTCTCCTGGAGAGGCCTTGTGAAAGCAAGAGGGTGCTAGAGAAGTTCTCTTCTCGGCACCTTCATTTATTACTGGGGGCTTGGGCAGAGCCTGCGCTGCTGCTCTCAGGAGAGAGAACGGGGCTAAGGAACTCTGCTTCTTACCTCTGGGAGGTCAGAGCCATCAATGGTCATCTGGTAGCATCTGGTAGTTCCATCAAGCCGCTCCTTCCATCTGTGATGCTGCATGGGCTTTGCTAGCAGGCCACCTCCTTTAGCTCCAGTGCAGCTGGTCTTGATCCAAACTACTGGGCTACTCTAAGAACTGCTGCCTGGGTGTGCATATAGTTCCTTTGCCCACCTCCTCCCTTGTTCTTTTTGTGCTGGAAGCTTACAGGCAGGGCCTGGCTTGTTGTCTTGATCTTGAGCTTATGCAAGCCCTTTCATCCTGCTGGCACCTGTTTCCACCACTCTGCCTCTCAGAAATCTGCCTCTGCCTCTTTCTGGGCCAGCTACGCATCTGCACCCCTCTCATCTCTGGGTCCCCTTCCTTTGGTTGACTTACCTCCAGTCTACAACTTCTGTCAGAGAGCCAGTGCAGTGTAGTGGGGCAGTCTTCCTCAGCCTGGGGCCTCGGTTGTGGATGACAACTCCCATCAGCTCCAGCTAGCCATTGGTTGGGGATGATGGGAGTTGTAGTCAGCACATCTTGGGGCACCACGTCGGGGAAGACTGGTAGACTGTCTAAGAGCTGAGAGACTCAGGAAGCATCTATTCCTCCTTGAAGCTCAGTGAACATCTTTAGCTCTGGGGTACCCAACATGGCGCTCATGAGGCATTCCCCAGCACCCATAGGTGCCTGCAAACTTGCTTTTCTTAAAAAAAGGAATCTTTTAAAAATGCAGGTCCAAGTTGTTTTGTGCTGTTGAGTTGTCTCAGATTCACTGGCGATCCTATGAATGAGCATTCTCCATAATGTCCTGACCTTGGCAGCCCCACTCAGCTTGTGTAAATGCAAGCCGTAGCTTCCTTTACGGAATCAGGCCATCTCCTCTTCGGTCTGCCTCATCTTCTGCCCTTGACTTCCCCTGGCATTCTTGTCCCCACCAGTCTGTCTTGCCTTCTCAGGATGTGCCTGAAGTACGACAGCTTCAGCTTTGTTATTTTTGCTCCCATGGAAAATTTGGGCTTGATTCGACCAAGGATTCCTTTGTTCGTCTTTCTGTCACTTCAGGCACTTGCAAAGTGCTCCTCCAGTGCAGCATTTCAGAGGCATCCATTTCTCCCTATCTGCTTCCTTCACAGTCCAGCTTTGATCAGAAATAGAATAGTGCATATGATCCTGGCCTTGGTCTCCCGTGAAACTTGCTTGTGCTTGATGATCTTGGATATGTATATATCCATAGCAATGAATGCACATGAGATGCATACATCTTTCTAGCAATTCTCCCCAGACACCAACAAAAGCAGGCCAAGTATCAAAACAGATATCCACCTATGTGCTATACTGAAAGCAGTGTATGATCCTTAATCCATTGCATTGCTGGAGGTGAGTATATCTCCTTGCAATGTTGCAAGATCAGTCTGTCTAATGAGTCCAGAGAATCTATTTTACTGGTCACTTGTTGATTTCCCAGAAGCAGGGAAATCATTTAAGAGAGCATGTGTATCGGTGAATGTCAAAGGCTATTCCAGTACAAAATTATCTGCTTTAACCTCCGCATAAAAGGAAGCAACTCCGCGACATTGCCAAAATGTATCTTCAAAGGCCTTTTGGCCATATTGCATTGCCAGCAAGTGCATTCAACCAGCCCTTTTTAAAGAGATGTTACCATGTCCAGTGGACACAGAACTTTAGGAATAAGATGCAGTCCGAGATCCATAGATGCAACTGATGGATGCCAAGGATGCGAACCTCCGATTGTGCATTTTTGTATTCATCTCAAGTTCCTAAATGTGCCTGCTGGTCCCAAAAAATCCGGGGACCCCTGGCTCATCTCGTCACTGTGTATCTCTGAGTAGTTTGTCCCAACCAATCTGCTGAAAGGCACACCTTTAACTGTGTTCTCTCTCTCGCTTTCTGTGGGATCAGCGGCCACTGATTCTGCCTCAGAGTACGTGACTTCAGCCACAGCCCACGTGGTGGAGCTCCTTCTCCCGTGGAACAAGGCAGGGAGAGAGGGCAGGCAGCAGCCTGGAGTCATTGTCCAGTTCTCAGAGTGGCCACTGTCCGGCCAGCTCTGCCGCCGCTGGTGGCATCAGCTTGTCCTCTGCCTCGTGTGCTGGCACGGGTGGAGAGGCGGCACTGCGGGCAGAGCCTCTGCAGCAGGAGGAGACTGATCTGCTGAAACAGGGCTTTGTTTCTGGGGGAGCCCTCCAGCTGTGGGGATTTATGCCTCGGCTGCCCTTGTTTGGCCAAAGAATAGAAGGCGTCTGAGCCTGGCTCGCCTGATCTCATCACTGCTTTGCATCTTAGATGGATGCAGCACGGCCTGGAGACGTCTTTGCTCGGAGATGTGTGGGTTCCTGGGTGGTTTGGCCAGCATCTGTGCATTAACAAGCCGACTCTTGTGTGCATGTGCGTGCGTCAAACTAGCGTCCTCCAGAAATGTGATGTCAGTGTTTCCAGGGGATCACTTTTTCCCCCAGATCACGCCAGTTGCAACCCCCCAACACGTCTCTCTTGGCTTAGCTGCCTAGTAGCCCAGAGATAGCAGAGGCCCTTGATGTCAATTTTAAGAAAGTAGCAGCAGCAGCACCTGCTATGGAAGCTGGAAAGGTAGCAGCTCCTTGCTTTGCAGAACAGGTAACAGAAGGCTGCAGTTGGCTTTCCTTAGGTGAGTCCATGTCGCATCATTGTAAGAAGCTCAGCGTTGTTTGTCCTCAAGACCGTGTCATTAACGCCTTTGACACAATAGCCATCCTTTTTTGTTTTCTCTTGCCTAGGAAAGAAAAAATCCAAGTTTCAGACTTTCAAGAATTTCTTTGCCAAGAAGAAGAAGAAGAGCAAAGAGCTGTCATCTCCCATGGGAGGAGGGAGCAGACTGAAAGCTAGCCAGTCCAGTAGTGATGTCAATATTGATTCCAGCCTACTCCATGCAGCTGTGGAGCCTGGGTAAGGTAGTGCAGCTGCCCAGTGCGCGCAGGTTAAACGCAGGAAGTGCTCTGCAGTGAGCTGCTCCTTTCATTCAAGCTGATGCACAAACAAATCCCAGTGCTGCAGCTGGAATGTCAGGAATTTCCTCTCTTCCATTTGCAACGTGCCTCAAAACAGCTAGTGCGGTAAAAAAGCAACACCCCCCGGACTGTTTAAGCCGCAGAAGTGCTGAGAGATGGGATTTGCCTGTGTGTTGCCTGAATTCCATCCAGACAGAACTAATTGGCATGGGTGTTGGGTTGGCCTTTTAAAAGTAGGTAATACCCTGGTTGAAAGATGGTTCCTGTCACTGGAACGGCCATTGTGTCCTACTGGTGGCACGGGGAGGAGAGCCCACACTTTCCACCTTCAAGCTGGCCAACGCTTTGCGGCTGAGAATGAAGAACTAGCTCCCTGGCCAAAGTCCGGGCTTGTCTTTGACCCATCCACAATGTTGGGTGGATATAGGAAAGGGGGTTTTGCAGTTCACATTCCTGTTCATTGGAAGCCCTCAAGGCTGCTTGGTAGCTTATATTGTGCAATGTTGCATATGTGCAAAGCTGCCTCAGAGTTACTCAAGGCATCGGTGCAGACAGATGGTTTTCCCCAGCTCTGGTCCTTTTTTTTAAAGCTGGACCTGCAGGCATTTGCACCTGGGACCTCCACTTTGCAAAGGTTGCCAGTCGCCATCAAGTGCCCCCTTTCCTTATTTTTTGGAATAGTTTTGTAATATATTGAGCCTCCATGAACCCTATTGCTGAGTCTGTGTTTTCTAAAAACTCCCTCTGGGGGTTGGTGACCAGCGGAAGGGCCTTTTCCGTGGTAGCACCTCATCCTCGGAACTTGCTCCCCAGAGAGGTGTGTCTGGCACCACCTCTTTTTTCTCTTCAGTGCCAGGTGAAGTCCTTTTTATTTTCCAGAGACTGTAATAGATAATTGTTACTCTTAATAATCATTTTTATCATTACTGCTGCTGTGCCACATGTCAACTGTGGGTTGTTATTGTTGATGATGTTGCATTGGTTTTATTCTTGTATGGAAATATGGTTATTTCATTGCTTATTTATGTTTCTTAACTTCCCAGAGAGCCTCTGGGCTATGGGGTGGCATAGAAGTGAAATGAATGAATGAATGAATGAATGAATACACACTTTAAATAAACAGAACGAGCTAGATCTGATGTAGCCAGTTCTATCTATCTAGGCAGCTGTAGAAAAGAGCCAAGGCCAAGAATTGATGCTTGAGTTTGCTTGTTTTCCTCTCCTCTCCTCTTCCCTTTTTCCTTGTGTGCCTTTCTTCCAGACTGTAAAACCTGGAGGCAGGGACTGTCTTGTTTGTTTGTTTTTTTTTTTAAAGGAGATCTTACATAAGCTACCCTAGGAATCTTTCTGGCTAAAGTGCAGGGTGAAAATACTTTAAATGAATGAATAATTCTGATCTCAGCTTGGCGTTGAACCCCCTGGGTCGCTTTTTGCAAGCTGTTCTTTCTTTACCTTGCCCCTTTATCAACAGTATGTGGATCAGTTTGGCTAAATGCTTTGGACTGTGTCATTAGTGGAATAGGTGGCCTAGAAATATTTCAAACAAATAATTAAATAAATGCATCTGTGCAAAAATCATATGGAGCACTTGCAGAAAACAGAATTAAGAGAGAGAGAGAGAGAGAGAGAGAGGGAGAGAGAGATCTTTTAAAAGTCTGAACAGTTTTTCCCATCTTCGATGTTTAGATCCAAAGGAAGCATGGGGAACAAAGCCTTATCGCACGACAGTGTTTTCATTTTCGAAGCATTGCCAGATGTTGCCGGCCAAATGGCCTCACAGGAAAACCTTCCTGGGAAGGTGAAAGCATTGCAGGTAATGGGGTCTCTTGCCTTATTCTATTCTCATGGGAAGGAGACAAAGAAGATGTTAATGGTTTTTGGTGACTAGTGGCTACTGGGTAGCCAAGGAGAGGCAGGTGCCTGAAATGTTGGTAGCTTGCTGCAGGGATAAACAGGTTGTCTGATTTCCGGGGAGAAACTAATGCTTTTGGCAAAACTAAAATTACATCACTGGAGGACGGCTGTGCCATGGTTTGGACACCACAAAAACCCTCCTTTGATGTAAGATGTGAGGCCAGTGGTACAGTCAGGCCAATTTAGGCCCTGGACGGCTTATAACACATATTTTTATTATGAATTTTACCAGGACAAAACAATATGAAAGAAATGAAAAACAAAGAGACATCTCCTGAAATGAATAATTTCTAATATGTAAATACCCAGATCACAGCTTAAATCCATGTATATATCAATGTATAGCATGTATAGGCATACATGTGTCATTTATACATAAGCTTCAGGAAAGGCAAACCCACTGTCTATATATACACCTCTCCATATAGAGGTTTTTGCTTGTGGTGCAATGGTTAAGAGTGTGGGACTCAGGAGATCTGGGTTCGAGTCGCCGCTAGGCCATGGAGCCAACTGGGTGACTTTGTGCCAGTAGAAGACTCTCAGCCTGACCTACCTCACAGGGTTGTTGTGAGGATAAAATGGAGAGGAGGTGAAGCTTGTAAGCTGCTTTGGGTTTCTTGCAAGAGGAGGAACGGTTGGGTATAAATGCAATAATGATGCTGCTGATGATATAGTCTTAAATCCATTTTGTTAAAAAAGATGAGCATTTATCTTTCCTGTGTTGTAGTTTTCAGTCTTCTAGATGTCAAAAAGACGAGGAGAATCCACTTCTGCTGGCAAACTTTTAACTTTCCTGAAACAGGCTCCGGCCTTCATGGTCTGATGGAGTGACGTGGGGCTTCTGGTGGCCATAAATACTCCTTTGGTTGTGAGGCATACAACTGATGTGTCTTTCCCCTGCTACTCCAGCCACCACACTGCACAACAGCTTCTGCCTTCCCCACAGATTAGAACAACATTGCCAGCAAACAATGCAAGCAAAACTCTGAGCATGTGCAGTTCTGCAGGGGAAATCACAGCAACATCACAGTAACGGGAATAGTAGCCTGTTGCTCTGCTGCTTCTGCTGCCTGAAACCCTTCATCACCTGGTAGTCACTGAGGATCCTGGAGGAGGCCCCAAGGTCTGCAGCCGGCTGCACCACGGTGCAGGCAGCCCCCGGTCCCGGCGCTCAGCTCCAGCCTGCCCAAAAGGCTCCTCTGTGGAGTGGCAGGAACACGTCTCCAGTGCTGCATGGCAGGATAAGGGTGCTTTCCTGACTTTTGTTTTGTGCGCTCAGCTGATAAGGAGGTGTCAACTCTGGTCGGTTAGGCAGGAAAGAAGGCTGAATACTTTTGACAGCTGACGTAGGCTAGATTCTGTGTGCATAAACAACGTTGCCTATGCCAAGGACTTGAGAAAGATTTTCAGGCATCTGTTCTTGAACCCTGCTGGGTCTATTAGCGAAGGTGGAGTTTTAGGAAAAGCTTTGGGTTCACAAAGGCTAGCTTGGGGTTTGAAGGTTCAATTTGGCAAATATTCAAGGCTCAGGTTCAGGGAGAGGTTTCCATAAGTGCTTGGAAATATTGAGAAGGTACCAAAAGACAAATCTTGCTTTGCATTAGTGAATGGCTGACACAATCGGATTCTGCAGGGGCACCTAAACAAACTTGGTCACCTTCATTTGTGGTTTAACATTTTGTCTGAACCAGAATCCTTAGCTTGTTACTCTCTCTGAACAAACCAAAATCATATTCCAGGAACTAAGTATTCCTACTGAAGAAGCTGCATCATCATCTTAAAAACCAGTGACTAAGTTCAGGCAGCACAATAACTCACATTCAAGGGTTGAATGTGCGTTGTTGATGAATCATGGGTTGCTGCTAAGATGCGCGTTACTGTGTTGTCTAAACCCAGCTGCCATAACAAACCATGGTTTCTTACCCACAAACAATTCATGGTTTGCTTTTGGGTTGTGAACTGTGGGTTGTTTATGGTTAACAAACCATAGTTTGTTAGCTTAGCTGGGTTCAGACAAGATAGCTCACATTTCAACAATGGCTCACAACAATCCCTACTCAACTTTTGAGTTTGAGTTATTGTGTTGCCTGTACCCAACCTATGTTTAATCTTTTTCCTTCTTGTTGCCCCAACAGCTTCGGTTACAGCAGAACCTCAGGTTTGGATCCCCCCCTCTTGTAATTACAAGCAAGAAAATGGAAGACACAGGGACCGTTTCAGAAGATGACGGCTTACCCAGAAGTCCACCAGAAATCTCCCCTCTTCATGACATTCTGACCTGTCCTGTAAGTAAGGTATGTAGGAACATAGGAAGTTCCCTGCTACATTTGACAGTATGTTGATTTCCTCTTTCTCCAAATCACCTTTCTTTTATAACTATTAGGACAGGATTCCTGGCAGTTCTGTCCAAATCTTAATTGTCATGGTGGTTTCCCTCTTTTTTTTAAAACCCAAACAAGAAAAAGAATGCTCCTATTTTAATTTCCAAAATATTTTTGATCCAAGAGGCAAGGAAGAACAGATAGTTTGCTTGAGCCCTTGCTATTTTTGAAAGCGAGCGGGTTTGGTCCTCCATGCCATGGCTTCACATCAGAGTGAGTAAGGAATGTAAAAATAACAGTGTAGAATTGGTGGTGTCTTTTTATGCCCCTAATTTGGTGATGTCTCACAAAACTGCAGTGAAAACTCTCTGATAAGTTTAAGAATATAAGGAAAACCTTTCTGGTAAGCTCACCCTAGAAGAGCATCGTACTTCCCCTGGGATCCCAGAAGCAGTGCATGGTACCTTCTCTTGCTATTACTTCTGGTTGTGAAGGATCATGTTCAGTTTTAGTCCCACTTATGGAAACGAATGGCACTTAAGTTAGTCATAATTAACCACCCAATGTGCCACACAGCCACTGGAAATAAGATCTGAAGCCTAGAGTAAATTTTCTACTGGATCCAAAACAACCACCAGTGCGTCTTTTAGTTTCTGGTGAGTGGATTCTTCGCCAGCAACCTGAATTCTGTGCCCTCCCTTAATCTGGTTTGTAATTACAAGCTTAAAAAATGTCAGTGGTTTTCTACATTTGGCAGAGCGCGAGATCTGTGACAAAAATGTGACTTTGGGGAAATAACAGATTTTCTAAAGATGGCCTACAGGCAAAAACTAGAATGCAAGACCATCCATGCTTGCTTGCACTGAAATTAAAAAGCAGGAAACCTAAGGTCTGAAAAAAGGATTAGTGCTCAGCACAATGAGTAAAGCAGAGGGGACCGGCAGATGAACAATTACAAATTGGTTAAATTTGAGGTGACAACAGCACCTCAACAAATTGAGGTGACAACAGGAAGATAATTTTAAAAAGATAAAATAGCTCATCAGCTGCAACCCAGAATCTGGCTACAGAGAAGACACTCTCATGGATTCTCAGTACAAGTGTGCCAGATGTGGGCATGATATGGAACAGAACCTCCCTGCAGGATCGTCTCGAGAGGCGGTCCTTTGTTTATCCTGGTCTATCTAACTGCCTTTGCCAGGTGGTTCCATTTGGGATCTTTTGACAGGCTAAATCGGAACTCTCCAGCCTCAGATCTCTCTGTCAGCCTTTGAACCTCTTTCAGCAAGAAGTCTGAATTCTACTTCAGAGAAGCTCTTAGAAGAGATTTTTTAGCCTTCCTAAATGGCAGAAAATCACAAAAGCTGGAAAGTGGCAACCAACCGGTGAGGGGAAGGGGTGAGGCCATGTGAGAAACCCCAGTGGGCCGTATCTGACCTGCAGCTCGGAGGTTCTGCACCGCGGCCCTGGGCCCTTGCGGGACACGAGCCCTGCCTGTCAAAGCCTCAGCCACCTTGGTGCTACGGAGCAACTGTCGGCGTGCCTTCGCACGCGTGAATGTGGGTGAGGGGGTGCTGTGTCGGTCCCCACCCTGCTTCTCCTTTTGTGGTTCCTTGTGACTCTCCTTTTGATGTGCCGCCCTAGGAGATGTGCCGTGTTGTGCTGTGCTTCCCCTGACTGGCCTTCTCCCTTATTTTGTCCTGCAGTCCGCCAACCCTGTCCAGCGCCATCGCTCTTTGAGTTTAGGGGGGACAGACAGTGAAGATGAGCAGGTAATTCAGCAGTGCTTTCTGCTACTGATGCAAGCTGCAAGCTGCTGGAGCTCGCAACAGACCGCTTGCCCCTCTGGACTGTCTCCTGCAATGGGCAGCAGCTTGCTAAGGGTGTGCTCACAGCCCAGCTCCTGGCTTCTTTTGAGCTGGAGGTGCCTTGAACTGAGGCTGGGTCCTTTAGCACACAGAGCTCAGTTGGTCCTTTGGCCAACCGAGCCGTTTCAAATCGTGGCTAAGGCAGCAAGAACACACAGGCTCCTGCTTTGATAGGTGCCTGATCTTATGCCTCACGCTGATGCTGCTGTTTGTAATATGATTCCACCATTTTTATGACTGATGGATTGATTGTGTTAATTGCATGCTCTCCTCTATATGTTGCTGTAGGAAGGACACGATCCCCATATATTACAAAGTGGAGAAAATGCTGTGAAGTATCTAAACATCTCTCTGTGAAAAACCTGCAGTGGAAATGCATAGGGCTGAAGCCCAGATTTAAGGCTGTTAGGAAAACACGGAAATTGTTAAATCCATTTTATCTGTGTTTTGTAGGTTGCCTGGCATTTCCCCCCCTACTATTCCTCATTGAAGGAATCAGATTGGTTTCGCTAGAGTGTCATTCTACTTCTGCAAATTTGCATCAGTGCTAATTTTGCACACACTGCTATTGTGCAGAGACAATAATCTACATGAGTTGACATGGGAAACTGAGTCCTGCGTAGAAGCCCTTTGCACTGCAACATTTCATTACAGACCCCACTTGCAAGAAGCCAATTCATGAGACTTCTCTTCCATATTTCCTCCTCCGCTTCTGCCCCCTTCCTTTCTGTTCTTTTCAAGATTTGTTTATTCATTCATTCATTCATTCATTCATTTCCTTTTCTTTTATACTACCCCATAGCCAAATCTCTCTGGGCAGTTCACACAGTCCATAAAACCAGATGATAAAAGTTCAATAAAAATATTACAAAATCGGAAAAAATAAAATGTGTAAAGCAGCTAAAAACAGATAATGAAAACAGACAATAACAAAGAAAAACTATATATAAACACACACATACACATATACATGCATGCATGCATACATACATACATATATATAAGGGAAAATTTATTCAACAAGACAATGAAGAGTTCTGTTGCCCTTCAGCTGCTGAGTTGCTGTTGCTGCTTTTTCATGGAACAATGGGGCGATTAAATAAATGAAAATAGATCCAGCAGCAATAATATGGGCTTTATTGGACATTAGCATACTTGAACGGGGCAGTTCACTGAAGCCGGCTGGGCCAGGCTGGGAGCTGTGGAGCAGTTTTCCTGCCTGAGTGTGCATGCACACAGTCAGGCCGTTGGACCACGATCCTGGCAGCGTCTGGGAGACCATCGCTTGCTCTGGAGTCCCAGGGCCGGGTTGCCGGACTTCGGTGCTGGGACTCTGGTGGCCAGGCCTGGTCCTGCCTCCCCCGGCGCTGATGTGGAACGCGCCACGCTGGCTCCCTCTCCGAGAGCAGAGCTGCACTCCAGAGTGGAGGAGAGGGGCGAGGGGGCCGGGGCGGTGAGGCCATGCCCTGGACTGGTGTCCCAGCCGCCTTCCTTCCCCCTCCCTGTGCTTTATGTCGATGGGCGAAAACAGCCATTGGGATAAAATGCATGGGCAAGGCACAGCTGCAGCAGAGAGGGCACCCCATGCCTTGCTCCATCTACTGGATGCATCTAGGATGAATCTGGACATGCCTCTGAGGCGTGGTGGATGGGATGGGATCTGTGAAGGTCGTCTCTAGGCCCGGCAATGGGCTCTTGCCTGCCCCTCATGTTGGGAGTTTGTGTCTCAAGTCTCTAGTCCTGTGGATTCCCCGTGAAAGCTTTGCGCACAATGGCCGTGAGGTGCAGAAAGCCTGAAATGTATCCGTTTGCCGGTCTGCCTTTGCAGGTGCCATTGGGATGCTCCTCCCGGCCTCTCAGCTCACCCTTCTCCACAGCCCTGGGCAGCCCCGCTGGGCCAACCTGCCACTTGCTTCCTGTCGACTTCAACAGCCCGGCCACCCCGCTGGGCTGCCTGGATACCTCTGTGGCCAGGCATCGGATTGCCATGAATCCACGGAGGCAGAAAGCCTTTGCCCACAAAGCCCAAAACCTTTCCGTAAGTGTCTCCTGGAGGACAGTGGTTCTCTGGCGGGATGGAGAGGGATTTTGCCCTGCGAGCCTCTCCATCCGCCACACGGACGTTCTTGGCCAGGCTGGATCTGGTTGGCTCATTGTGGCAGGATTTAGCCCTGGATGCTGAGGAGGTGAAGAGATCTGCCCCCTTTCAGGTTGGGGGTGAAGGGAAATGCAATTTGAAATGTTTATTTCTTTCATGTAAAGAAAGCTCTTTTCATGCATGTCCAGCAAATGGACCTTTCCTCTAGATTTTAAAAACTGGGCTGGTGCATAGGAAGACAAGTTGCCCCTTAGACTCTCAAGAGAAAGAGTGGACTAGACCAGTTTTTGTGTTTCTGCTTGTTGTGGCATGGAAGGTCCATGCATAGCATTGGGGTCAGTTCTCTCTGCCATCCAGGAGCCTACACTTTCCCTTCACCTTATGTGCAAGGCAGAAACAGAGGCTGCTGGGTCAGACCAGAGACCTGTCCCATCCAGCATCCTGTTTTCCACGGGGACCAACCAGCTGCTTCTGCAGAAGTCCAGGAAGAGGATGTACGCACCGCAGCAAGCCCCCGCTTTGCTCCCCCAGCCTTTAGTAGCCATCCACCACCTTACTGTCCTCTGTGAAGGTGTTTACTGGTGCCGACCGTGTGCTGCGCCTTCCCTTTTCTGAGCGCGCCTCTTCAAGAGGTCCACAGGACCTGCTCTGAGTCCAAGTTGGGGGGAAATAACAATGGGGCAGAACTTGTGGGGGTGGGGTTGGGGGTTGGTTTTGCACTGCGGCCTTGGCCCATGTGGTTGTGGTGTTGTAAACTGCCTTGGGGTTAGAAGGGTGGAGCACAAGTAGAGGGGGAATGAAGGAATTATAATTATATACAGAAGCCCATCGGTCCTCCGAGGCCCCCTCCATCATGACCATTATTTCTGGATCTTGCAAAGAACTGTTCCAAGAATAAAGTTTCACTGGGAAGCGGACTAAGAAAACAGGCTGTGCCTTGTTCCCCCTTTCACTATCAATTTTTGTAGCAAGTTGTAACTCAAAGAAATTGCTGCACTTCCCAGTGCTGGCTCTGTGTCTGGGGCCCTTGGGAAAGAAGGTCTCCTTGCTGCTGCTGCCTCTGACTGTTCCCTTTGGCTGTCTGGAGAGGCAGGACCAGGGGCTGTTGCTCCTCACCTGGTTTTTGTCCACGCCGACTCGCTCGGAAAAGGCAAATGTACAGGCTGCCGTGCCAAGGCAAGGCAGGGCCAGGCCAGTAGGCTGCAGGAGTGAGCAGTGAGCTCCTTGTGGGGAGGTCAGGCTGTGGGGCGCACTGCCACCACATGAAGTGCCAGCCCCCGATTGGCACGGGGATCAGCCAAGTTCATGCAGAAGTCTGTCCATGGCTAGTTGTCCTGATGGCCGCGTGGTGCCTCCCGTATCCGTGTCTACCGGTGCTATTTCGTTGGGCTTGTAGGTCCCTGTAGGAACAGAACGCTGGACTGGAATGCGGGACTCTGGACCTGGTGCAGCACAGCTCTTCTTCGGGCAGATCCCTGGCACTGGCCCTAAAGCCACTGATCCCATTTTTCAGTATCACATAGTTGTGACTCTGGTCATTTTCACCACTATATAAAAGAAAGCGATTGATGAGTTTAAAAGGCAGGCAGATCACCTTCCAGCACCTCTGCTGCCACCTTTTATGGGTTGAAAGTTTGTGCTGCATACCTTACACGTAAAAATCAGTCTGTTTATACAGATCTGTCTTCCTTTCCAACACCAGGTGGAGAAAGAGCAAGATCTTCTTGGACCTGCTGAAGGAAAAACAGGCCACGAAGTATCACGTCAAGGATTTGATGGCCAAGAGAAGAACCGGGAAGGTATCGGCTGTGCGTGTCCTTGCACATGCCAGTGTTTTTACATGCAAAGAGCATGGGGGAAGGAGTTGAGATTTGCCTGAGTTTTCAAGGCCAGAAACCATCTTCTTTTCCCCCTTCATCCCTTTCCTTGTGCAGGCCCTTCAACCCGGAATGCGAGTAACTTAAACGGGAGTTGGACTAATGATGTCTTTCCCATGGCAAAGACCTCCGACGTTTTGCGGTATTCTTGGAATGCTGGCCCTGGCGTGGACGAGCAGCATATTTTGGCGTCGGAGGACCAGAACTTTCTGGTAACAGATCTCCAGGCAAATGTGACAGTGTCCCGTTCAAAGCCATCCTCTTTGGTAAAGGCAGAAGGAGAAGGAGCAATGGAGGAGGATGTAGGAAAAAGAACCGGCTACCCCATCGATGACCTTGAGCTAAACCCACAGAGCTTTGGGAAAGGACTAGTGGAGAATACTGAACTTTCTCAGGCTGATGCAAAAGCCACTAGACTTTGTGACACGTTGCTCCTGGTCTTGCATGGAAATGCAGGAGAAAACCTTCATTATGAAACAAACTGTCCCCGTGGACCCTCCTTCCAGCCAGGGGACCAAAAAGCAAAAGGCTGTACCGCTGGCAGTGGCGTGACTCACGTGGATGGAGTGGGAGACAGCTCTGCCGCTAGGGGCACATCTGCCAGCCTCGAAGCAGAGCCGGTGTTGCCCATTTTACAGCTTCCTGCATCGACGTTGGAGCCTTCCTCAGGAGCAGCAAAGCCCACGGCCTCAGCCCTCGGAGACGGCACAGCCATCACTGAAGCGACAAGAAGCCCTGCAGACGGGGAACCGCAGTCGTTTGAAGGCCGCCTGGAGCAAGCAGCCTCTCTGCCAAAGAAGTCGGCCGTGGTGGATGCCAATCTGGATACCCTTCTGCTGCAGAGGGCAGTGGGTGATAGCTCACGTCTCCTGAAGGAAGTTCACTGCTCTCTGTTGAGCAGCAGCCCGAGCACGGAAGAGGCTGATGTCGTTCCGAAGCAGGGTGATCTTCCTTCAGGAGGACTACATGCTGCAGGACTGGCTGAGAGTGCCTCTAACGGCAGCCTTCCTGATGGCCATACTGTGGACCAGCTGGGAAAGGTGAAAATGAGGGACGAAAGGAAAGCCCCAGAAGAGACTGCCAAGGCCCAGACAAAGGCTACCTCTGCTAAGCCGGTCAGGTTCACCATCGCGCCTGCCTGGCAGAGGTCTCTCTCAGGAGGGTCGAACCCCGTAGATGGTCCCTGCCCTAGAAGCACCCCGTCTTCACCCATAAGGCCAGAGTTGTTTGAAGGTGCACCCCAGTTTGATACAGCGTCACAGGGCTGCACGCCAAACAGCCCGGAACAACTGGAGAGGGTTCACAGAAACTTTGCAGCCAACTTGACCCTTGCTCTCGAGTGGTCAAGTGACGATGGGCAAGGCCAGGAGAGCCCATTTGGCGTGAAGCTGAGGAGGACATCTTCTTTATTAAGATACCAAATGGAGCAGGAGAAGGCCCCGAGGCAGGTTCCCCCAGCAGCTTCTGGAAGCTCCTCCATCTCGGCCAAGGATGAGCCAAAGCCAGCAACTTCTCCCAGCCTCACAGCCAGGACCAAAGCGTTGGTCGCAAAACCCAGCTTCAGCGAGGAGAAAAATCCCGGGAAGGCCAGACCAGAAGACGGGGCAACCAAACCACACACCAGCAGACCTTTAGGTATCTCAGTTCCATCAGAGGTGTGGAATCTGGATGGCCCACACCACCTTCCCCTTTTTCCTTGACCCCTGATTATCTGGTGGTTTTCAAGCTCTTGTGCAGCTCTGTCACCCATTCTAAAAGAGTCAAATGTCTCTCCTTAGTTACTGTCAGTAAAAAGTTTAAGTGAAAAGGCGCTGTCATTTGTTTTGGAAAGGTGGCCTCACCACTTTTCTTCTCTCTGCCCACTATTCTAATGTGGCTCCCAGGAGCTTCTCTGGGGCCCCAGGAGGTTCTGCACTCTTCTTCACGTGGATCTCATTCTGCGCCCTTCATTTGAGCTGATGCTCTGCTCAGTATTGAAGGCAGCAGAAGACCAGGGAAGAGACCGAGAGGTGGTCCACCAAAATGGTATCTTCCATGGCGGTTAAAATAAATAAATAAATAATGGGCCATTTGCCACCCTTGGGATACTTCTGGAGAAACTGCTGCCTTGCTCTACCTGATGGGGGAGCTGGCCCTGGTCCGGGAAGGGGTGGGGGTGGCATGGTGTGGCAGGCTCTACTGGCACGCAAAAACAAGGTGGCTTCGAACTCTTCCCAGCTTCTCTCCCATTCTTTCCCCTAGAGCAAACTCTGGCTGCACATTTGGAAGCCCCGTCCTCTGAACCAGCATGGATTTCGATGGCAAAACTGAAACAGAAAGGCTTCCAGGGCCACCCCCTCGCCAAAGCAGAAAAAGAGGGGAAGAAGCAAACCGGCTTTTCTCAGCAGGAAAAGGTCAGGACTGTTGGAATCATGCTGCGATGCAGCTTGACTGTGGTCCACACTCATAGGAGGTGCCTCTGATCAAGTTAATTTGTGCTTATAGCCCAAAATTTTCGCACGAGGTTGGTTAGGGTTCGTCTTAGTCATTTTAGGCTGAGGCTGAAGCTCTTAGATAATGTTTAACCGAGGATGCTAGGGATTTGTAACAGAGTAAAGCGAGCCTTATTCAGGGTTGAGAGGCATGCGACCTTCCAGATGTTGTTGAACTGCAACTCCCATAATGCCTCATCATGGGCTGTGCTTGTGCTGATGGAAGTTGTAGACCGAAACATTTGGAGAGATGCAGCCTTGCATTTTGTGACCATTTCAAGAAAGGAAGGAAACCATGTTCTACCTCCCAGATGTTGCTACATAAAACCAGTGTGGAGGTTCGTGCAACACTGGGGATCCATCCCTTATGCACGACTGCATGCTGCATTATTCGCCATGTCTGATTCGGGCAAGGAAAGAGATGCAGCACATAAGGGTACTGATTTCTGTGCATGAAAATCCATGCCTTTGGAATGACACTGAGCAATCTTTCAGGCCAAAGGGCAGGACCCGAGCCTCTGTTTTGTTTGGAAATTATGAAACATAGAAACAGAGCGTGTCAGAAGGGGTCTCCCGGGCCATCTAGTCTGACCCCCGGCTCCAGCCAGCCCCGCTCACGACATGCCCACTATGTGCATGTCCAGCCTATCCTTGAACACCCGCACCGACGGGGCTTCACCACCCCTCGTGGAAGAGGCAGTGTGGGCTGTGTCTCAGGAGATGTGGGTTCTAGTCCCCACTTGGCCATGAAGCATTTTTGGGCTGAGTCTCCACTGACTCTCAGACCAACCTCCCTCACAGGCTTGTTGTGAATTTAAAAATGGAGGGGGGCACATAAGCTGCAGGAAAAAGGGTGTGATCAAAATATAAACAAACGAGCGCAGCTGGGTTAGCTGTAAGGGATATGTAATCAAACCAATTTGATGGTTAATCCATAATAGTCTTGTGTTCTCCAGCAAGAGTTCTGTGGAACCGGCCAGCACAAGCTTCCTTGTCCTGCCACCTTAACAGCAAAGCACTCTGGGTCAGTGCAGGTGGGGACTGGAAGGGGCGAAGAGCGGGTGAGGGTGCTGCTCGCTCTGTCTTCTCAGACTAGGGGTGGGGATCCTACACGGTTTAGATGTGGTTGGACTGCAGTGCCCACTGGCCAGGGGCAGGGTGCCCAAACTAGCCTGTTGTGGAAGAAAAAGCACTGGGCCCTGTGCAGATGTTCCTCTCTTGCGCTGTGCTAATTGCATCTGGAAACAGAGAAGGGGTCTCTGGGACATCTTGTCTGACCTCCGGCTCCAGGCAGCTCCACTCATGACATTTAGTATCTAAAGCACTGCCCCTTCCCTCATGTTTCTGTCCATGCCCTGAGATCATCATCTAATGCCCTGCTTTCAGTACCTCCACAGCCTGAAAAGGGACTGCAGGTGGCGCAGGGGTTTAAACCGCTGTGCTGCTGGGCTGGTTGATCGAAAGGTCGCCGGTTCGAATCTGCACAACGGGGTGAGTTCCCGTTGCTCTGCCCCAGCTCCTGCCAACCTTGCCGTTCGAAAGCATGCAAATGCAATTAGATAAAAAGGTACCACTTCGGTGGGCAGGTAACAGCGTTCCTGCACCTCGGTGTTTAGCCATGCCGGCCACACGACCACGGAGACCGTCTGCGGACAAACGCTGGCTCCCTCGGCCAGGAAACGGAGATGAGCACCGCCCCCAAGAGTCAGGCATGACTGGACGTAACGTCAAGGGGAAGCCTTTACCTTTACAGCCTGAAACCTCTACCCTACTCAATGGGGTCTTTTCTAGAGTGGCCCCTAAGTGGTGTAATCTGGAGAGATGGACATGGTCCCAGGCAAAGGCCAAAACATTTCCTCAGGCCTGTTAAACTGCTGTTAGCTTTCTTTTTAATGTGCACCGTTGCATTTTAAAATAATCTCTGATTTTATTGATTCAGTTATTTCTCTCTTTTAAATGCTGAATCTTTGCTACTGCTTGTGAAATAACACTTTTTAGTATGTTTTATCTCTGGTTGGTTGTCTTGTGCTTGTCTCCTTGAGAGCTGCAGCACTCTGGTGACTCATAATTTGAATTGGTGCTGGCGGCTGCTGCTGCTGCTGATGCCGTTTCATTCATTTTCCTTTCTAGGATGCAAATACTACTCGTGAGAATGTATTGAAGAAGGGGAGCTCTCACCATGTCTGTACACTTGAAAGTAAACAACAGTCCAAGGTGACTGCATCACTTACAAAAGGTACAGAAAACTGGGAGAGAAGAACGGGTTACAAGTCCGGGCGGTGGAGGGAGAGCCCAGCCAAGGATGGTGGTTTAGGGTTAACTCTCTTATGACGTGTATTAGAGCAACATTGATGGGTCAACCAAAGAATATTTTTTGTTTGAGAAGAGAGAGATCACTGGAAACTTAACGGTGCTTCCGTAATATGTGCTGCATTTGTGGATATGGATCCTGCTGGCCTGCTGGATCTGTCCAAAGAACATGTGGTCCAGTGTGCTGTTGGACAGAGCAGCCACAAGCAGGATGAGAGGGTGCTAACATTGTCCTGCAGTTGCTCAGCAGCCATCGGAGCAGCAGAAAAGCACCATCGCAACCCTGTCCTGCTTGTGGGATTTCCATGTGAATAGAGCATTTTCCTTCTACCTGGGGACCTCTTGATGTGTGGAACTACAGCTCCCATGGTCCCCCACTGGCAGGGTGGGTGGCTGGTGATTGGGGATGATGAGAATTATAGCCCCATCTAGCATGATGCACTTATAATTTTAGTGAATGTTGTTTGCAGATCAAAGTTGAGGCATTCCCTCCCCAGGGGCTTATAATCTATAAGTCATAACAAAAGAAAAGAAGGATGGGGAGGGAAGAGGAAAACAAACTCCAGCACCAGTTCTTAAAGTCACAGAGTTCTTGTAATGACTAGCTGGAATTGAAACCAATCCAAAGTGTAGAGCCAAATGATAGATGGTCATTCAACTGAGCCAGTGGAGGTGGAGATGGTGTCAGAGGCCTCTCGGTCCCTCTGCTGCAACCAGATGAAATGGATTAATTAATTCTTTGTATATAGTCTAGATCAGGGAATTTCCTGAAACGCATGAACGAGAGATCCATGGACTGCTTGCTGCTCTGGGTGCCCCTGCATTATTCTAATCAGCAGCATTGCACCTTGGGCCTGGAGCGAAATCCCAAGCTGGATCTTGCAGGCTCTCTGGAAACCCTTCCCATGATCCCACCATTGGGCTGCCTGTCATTTGCTCCGTCCAGGCTTTCCCATGCTTTCCCATCCACTCACCCCATTTTAAAGGCAGGAATGGCTCCACCTTCTTTTCCTTCATCCCCGTCCACGCCCAGCTCCTAAGAATTTCTCGAGAACTGAGTTGAGAGACGTTCGCCATCCCCATCTGAATATCTGGATGGACTCAGATGTGGAATGACGCGGCTGGAACCATCTCAGGCGAAAACAAGACCTCATGACTCCGCAAGACTGCCTCGGCTCTCTGCTTATCTCCCCACTTTGTCTTCCAGCAGCTCCTGTCCGAACACCAACTCAGGAAATGGCCCCCGTGGAAAAGGAAGCGAGGCCAACCCTGACCCTGGCCGTGTCATCGTGCAGCCCTGCCGAGCCGCCCTGGCTGTCCCTGGCCAAGAAAAAGGCCAAAGCCTGGAGCGAAATGCCGCAGACGGTCCAGTAGCTGCTTGAGGACCTTTTCCTGCACTGCCAACGGCCATATTAATACCATACCGTCTATTAACAGGCTTCAGCCACTGTGAGCGCTCTTCCAGCAGCTTTTCCCAGTCCGGTGCCCTCCAGCTCTTTGGGAAGACAATTCCCAGCATTCCTGAACTTTGGCCTTCCTGCCTGGAGCTGACAGGAACTGCAACTCCATACCTCTGGAGAGGCACCAGGTGGAGGTACATTGATCTAGCTGTTGGAAAGGAGGATTGAGGAGTCGGATTGCAGAAGAGAGCTACGGAGAAGGAGCTCTCCTTTCACTCGCTAAAGGTGGCCATCGGTATTAATACACGACGTCCTTTTCCCTGGGAGTGCGGGAGAAACGTCAGCCGGGCTTCGCTTGGAGCCAGACGGCCTGCTGAGGTCCTCACACTTCGTCCTCCCAAGAACAGCATTCTGGGACAGTTGAGATGGTGTTTCCGGAGGGCCTTGGGCAGGGATGCCTTGCCGTGGGATGCCCGAACCTTCCAGGAGTCTGGATTGCTAGCAACGGATGGTGGGGCTGGCTTTTTGGGAGGGTCCATGCAGAGTTAGACTCCATTTCCGAGCAGCAAGCGTGAGCTCAGCAGCAGTGTCGGCGGGTATCCGGCATGCCCACTGCCAGGGATGGGCCCGCAAGGGATGGCTCAGGCCACCAGCTGCTTTGGCTGTCAGTGCCAGCTGGCAGGGCCAGAGTACAGGAAAGCTGGAAGTTGTGGGTCCACGTAACTGGAGCACCCCTGGGGGCAGAAGGCTGGGCTTCACATTAGGGGGCTGCTGTTGCCTGGAAAGCTTCCAGGCCAAGCGGCAGGAACTGCCCTCCTCGCAGTGTCTTTCCTGCCTCAGATCCAAACCTGGCTGAGCAGTCCTCTGCAGAACGTGCGCTGGAGCTGGTGTGCTTGGTACCTGCACCGGCAGCTGCTTGGTGGGATCAGCCTCAAGGTTTGCAGGCATGGAAGCCACTGTGCTGTGCGTCCTGTCACTTGGGCCCCGGCTGTGCTTCTGAGGGTCACCTGGGACATTGTGGCACCTTGACACATCAATCAAGAGACCTCGCAGGCCCCACGGCTCTGCTCCATCTGCTTTTTTGGATGCAACGTGTATGCATCTCAACCAGCTGTGTGGTGTCAATAGCCTACGTCAGAGATAGGCAAAAGGTAGGTCCCCAGGTGCTTTGGCCTTCAACTCCGCTGCAGCACTCACACCTCCCAAGTCTCCTCGGCACTGGCCATGGCTTCAGAGCAGGTGGTTCTGCTCCCTGCCCCAGAGAACAGACAGCTTCTCTTGTTCCTGGTGACATTTTTGCCACTAGTCCGGAAATCAGCAAGGAAATTCTAATCTGGAATTAACCCTAAACCCTCTTCTGATGATCCCCTTTAGTATCCACTGATTCAACGCCCTTCTTCTCTGCAAAGGACACCAAAGCTTTCTGTTGGGATTTTTGTTTTTTCTGTTTTTATCATGCCTCTGTATACCTTTCAAATGTACGGTATGTATATACTTTTGTGGTAATCCTTGCATTTCTGATCCCCTCCTTTTCTTCTTTTTAAAATTTTATTCCCCAGTTTTTTGGTTTATTATTAAATGCTTTTGTCATAATGGACTTTGATACCATGGTATTACAGTCTTGGGAAGGAAGCGCATTGCTTCTAACAAATCCTTGAACAGCTGTTTTCATCTCCTGTCCCTGCTGAGCAAAAACCATGCCAGTTATTTCTATGCCTAGAAAAAACTATTTCCTTTGCACTGTGCTGCCTTCTTCTCATTTGATGGCCAGGAGAGGGCGACAGAATATTTGTCTGTTTCAAGTCCTTTCTTCTTAGCTAAAACAATTCCTAGACTAGCCTGTTTAGTGTCATGGGTGGCCCTGCTCCAGATTAAGTTAGTTTTGTTGCTTCCCTGGGAGTAAGTCTCTTTTAATATATTGAGACTCAACTTACTTCCAAGTAAACATGTATGATCAGAGCACCAGGTGAGCCCCGTTGGATCTCAGCAGGATTCATCTAATTCAAGCATTCTGATCATGCAGTGGCCAAGCAGAATTCCACAAGTGTTGGACTGGGACTCTGCCGATCCAGGTTGGCCATAAAGCTCTCTGGGTGACTGTACCAGTCAGGAACTCTACACCAAACCTACCTTACAGGATTGTTATGAGGATAAAATGGAAAGGAAGAGGAGGATTATGCATCCTGGGTTCTTTCCTAGGTTCTTTGCAGGAAAAAAGGTAGGATATCGCTCATATAATAAAAAATATACACGCTCCTTCTTGCTCATACTGCATATTTTACATATTCTCTTTAACTAGTTTAAAGTTTAATTGGGTTAGCTAGTTGACTTCTTTTATTGTTAGCGTGTTTTAAAAAAACAACAAGGAGAAACCTATGCTGAAGCTTTGTTCGTGCCCTTCCGTGCACTGGTCAGAGGAAACTTGCTCCTCAGGTAATCTCCTGCTCTTATTATATCTTGCTCTCCAAGGGCTGGTGGGAGATTTAACTCTGTGAACTATTGAACTGGTTGTAAGTTGAGAATCCGTGCCGGAAGATGTGGATGTTTAAAGGGGTATCTGTAGCATGAAACTGCAAGATGAGATTTGACCTAAAAAAAGAAGTTGAAGAAGCAGAAAACTACCTTGACAAAAGAGATATTTTCAACGAAAGTGCGAGCTACTTGTAAGTGAGGAACCCATGGATGAAAAAGCAGGTTAAATACAATCCTTCATGGTAATCTAAGGAGCAAAACAAACCCCATTTGGGGTCTGGGAATTATGAATGAAAATGAATACTGCCAATTAGAACAGGTGTGGTGAATGCTCTCCAGTGTCAAATGCAGAGGTAGGGGATGGACCACTAGGACTGGAATCTCAGATCTTTGGATTGCTATTTGCCCTACCACCATGCTTTCCAGAGGAGGATGTTAGACTGGAACGCGAAACCCCCCTTGTAGAACTAGACGCATACGTGGAATGTTACCACCACAGTCTTAGCACTGGCTTGCAGTGTTCCAGTGAGTCAAAATGCCAGCCTGGATGTCAAGCTGGCAGTGCCTGGGTTGTTGCCCTACGGTCCTTATTTTGACTTTTGATTAACAATGCAGGGATGCCCACAATCCTTTATTGTTTTGTGGCATCCAAGCCTGGAAACTCTGGGATGTTTATGGATTTAACAACCCAGAGCTAACCCAATAATTGCCCAGCCTTGTTGCTGGGTTAATTTTATATTCTTTATCACTACACTGGAGTGACTGGGTCCAGATGTTACAGCAAGAATTCCTAGGCCATTTAACCCATCAGCAACTCAGCCACTGGGTACACGCATCGTAAAATAACCAGAAAGGGGCATTCCTGGGGTGTTGATTAGAAGTGGAAATCACAAGCACACAACTCACTCCACACATCCCTGCAATTCCAGTCAGTGTAGCTATCAGACTGGGACTTGCGAAGTGGAACAAATAGTTCTAGTTCCTACTTGGCCATGAAACTCACTGAGTGACTCTGGGCCTGTCACTGATGCGAAGTCCACCTACCTTGCAGGCCTACTGTGAAAATAATATGGAGGAGGAGGAAGAACAGGTAAGCTGGTTTGGAATCATGCAGCGAGGTGGGGGAAATGTCAGGAATAAATCTAGTAAGAAAAACAACAACTTCAGGTAAGGCTGTGTAGGTGTGTGTTTGTGCCCATGGGAATTTATTGTAGCAAAAGCTTTCACAACAGTCTTTCCCACTGCATTATAATGTCCAGCTCTTTTTCATATAAAAAGGACATTAAAAATATCCTCCTACAAACTAAGCAATCCAAATCTTATACTTTTAAAAACCTTCAGATTTTAAAAAAAACTGGGCTCATGAGTTTGGGAGATTAGAAAGATTTGTGATTTGAATTGTGCAATTTCAGGTTTGTTTTTTTTTTTTGGAAAGAGGTCTGTGTTGAAATTGGTGCAAGAGCTTATCGTTTTCCTAACTTGTGTGTTTCCAAGCATATAGCATTCTTGAAGTCTTAAGTTCTCGCCCCTTGTAGCTCTGAGATTTCTTTTGCACCTATTTTCTAAAGCATGTCAAGGGCTGTTCATAAGGCTATTTACTTCTGTTAAATACACACCCACTTGTACATCAAAAACTTCTTTTCTACTAGGACGCTCTAACCTTTCATTACCTGTGTTATGTAACTGGCCACATTTCTGCTCTTTGATGCCGCACAACCAACTTCTCATGCAGCGGCCTCATGAGTTATAAAAGGTGTTTTCTGTTGGCCAGCTAGAAAAAAACATTTGCTCTACTGACCCTGATAGTTCAGGTTATGTAGAGAGTATAAACCACAGAGGTTATTGAAACACTAAGCAGGGCAGAAGCTCAGGGAGAATGTTAAACATTCTGTTACAATAGGGAACAGTTTCCAAGAATAGTTGCAAGAAAGCACAGAGGAAAAGCCATGCTGGATAGTCCAATGGAGCAGTTAGGCCATGATGTCCACAGGATCCCTCAAGCAGGATGGGACCAGACCTCTGCCCAGCCCAAGCTCCACGACAATTGCTGTATGCAGGCATGCTGCCTCTGAGAACAGAAGTGGCACATGGCTAGCAAGGCCTATAGCCACTGATAGCCGCCGCCTCCTCTTCCTCCATCATGAATCTGTCCAATCCCCTTTTAAAGCAATCAAAATTGGTGGTCATCACTACTTGCTGTGACAGGTTGAAGGCCATTTCTGATAGGCAGGAAATGCAGCAACTCCGCCTTCTACCCAATAAACCATGGTTTCTCTTCATTGGTTGGTTGTTGCTAACAAGCCACGGCTTGTTGGTGCTGCTGGGTTCAGCCCACACAACCCAGTTCAGTGAAAACCCACACTCAGTCCTTAGGTGTAGGTTGTTGCGTTATCTGAACCCTTCTCTCTCTCTCTCTCAGATAAGTAGCTGACTAAAGAGAAGAGCTTCCCCTAACAGGATGAGGGACGGTCTCACCTGTGGGTCAGACATCTCCCATGACTGATTTACAGTGTTAGGTTAGAACTGAGAAGAGCCAGGTTCAAATTCTCACTCAAGTCACTCTAGATGGGCCAGATCCCTTCCTTCAGCCTCACAGGGTTGATCTGGGGATAAAATAGGGAAATCACGTACGGTTATGAGCTCCTCAAGGGTAAAGTGGGGACATCAGTGTAATGAATAAGCCAAACCACTGGGAACAAGTGGCTGCATTGTACCAGCCTTCTCCAACCTGGTGTCCTCCAGATGTTGTGGGACTACAGTTCCCATCATTCCCAGGGAACAATAGGAGTTACAGTCCAACAATCTGGAGGGAACCAGGTTGAAGCCTGATGTATATCCTTCATGGTGACAGGGCAAGGGGATGTTTTCCTATTTCCCAGGGGCTGGGAGTTGACTTGAGAGAGGTTTGTAGGCTCAACTTGACAAGCCACAGCCAATGAGGGACTGCCCACATCAATTAGGCTTTAGGTTACAAGACAGCACAAGTATTAATGTTGTGATTGCCGACACATGGTAGAGAGACAATATAAATCAAGTTTAATCACCAAACCACTAAATACATAAAGCATTGATGCAAATACTATTATTAATACATCCTAATGCAGGTTTTAATAGACTCAGAAATACATCTCAAACATAACAGAGCTGAACAAAGTGAAAAATAATAAATCTATTTTACAGAAAGAGGTAGCTGAACCATGATAAGAGTTTAAGCTTATTTTCACTTCAAGTTCGTCATAGTGCAAGAGTTTTGTTTTTCCCCTCTAACTATGCTGTACAAAGAGATGGAATTATCCAAGCCCCACAAAAGGTAGGATGCCTTGATATGGCTTGATTTCTGGCATTAGAAAGATTACTGTTTAATGGAGTCACCAAAGAGCAGTGCTGTGCGCCCCTTCCAACAGCCACATTGATGTCGGCCTCGTGGATGAATGCAGAGAAATGAGGCGGCTGAGTAGCATAAAAGCAGAGTAGAACACAGCAGCTGTCCCTAGCTTGATGCCCCCCCGCCCAGATGTGTTGGACTACAATCCCCATCATCCACAGCTGGCCAGGAATGATGGTAGCTGGAGCCTAACACACCTGGAGAAGGTCTGGCTGGATTATATTATTACTAGGTTCAGGTAGGATGTCCCTTTTGCATGTCCCCTTGTGGTCAAAACCACATTGCAGGTAGAAAATTAACACAGCAGAAAGCAGATAGACTCAAATCTGATACATGAATTGCCTCCTTGCAGGGGAGTTGTGTTTCTTTGTTTGTAAATATGGGAGAACGTTCGCAACTGGTACAATGTACTTCAGAACCCCACTCCCTTATTCCTCTGCACATGTAGCTTTGGCTAAAGTCTTGCCAGAAAACATGAAGAAAGGTATGACATGGTTTTTGCTACACTGCTGCTATGTAAACTTTTTTTTTCTGATTCTCACATTTTAGCTTCAATAACTTTTTTAAAAGGCTTTTTCCAGAAGAGAAAGTATATGGCTCATGAAGTCTGAAAGCTCATGAATGGCAACCAATGACGGAATACAGGCACTTCAGTGCAGAGTTAGCTCATTCACATTATGAAAATTTGCAGATTAGGTGCAATTTGAGAATGAAGTTATGGGAGAGAATGATACAACCCTTCTGGTGTTTCATCCACTGAATGTCCACTAGAAGACAAGGTTGCTTTCTACCCCACCCTAGCTTGGACAACTCAGTAAACACACATATTTTGCAAAATATTTACTTCAGAAAAATGGATAGCTGCTCTGCCAAGACTTGTCCTAGTCTGACAGTCTCCGGAAGTTCGTTTGCAAAGCATTCTGGGACACCCTGCAGGTATCCTGCCCACTCAGCATCCACAGCTGCATATCATTGGATTGGTCGGATACCCAGTTAAGGAAGGTGAGCCACTGGTTTAACTGTGCCAGCTTTTAGAACAGAAGAAGAGCATCACTGGCCAGACGACACGGCCATCCAGTCCTGCATTCTGTCCACCGAGTGACCAACAAACTGCCTGCAGGATCCCACACGCAGGACAAGATCGCAACGACTGGTGTACACAGGCAGACTGCCTCTGCCACCTGCAGGAGCACACAGCCATCAGGACTACCAGCCATTCTTGTTTAAAGCCACCCAAATTGGTGGCCAGCACTGCATCTCACGGAAGCTGAATGCCATACTTGGGCAAAGTGCTGTCCCCTTCATAGAACAGCAGCATGGGACGGGGCCAGAAGGCCATCAGGTCCGATCCCCTGCTCAGCGCAGGACCGCAAGTTCAGCCACCCCTCTCAGATGGCTGTCCAGTTGCATCTTGACCTGCCCTGAATCTCCCGATGGCCTTCGTGGAAAGCCTGAAGCATTATGGGAGGGAGAAAAATGGCTCCACTTTTGCCCCTCCATGCGCAATTCTGTCCACCTCTCTCATGCCTCCCCTCACGCAACTTTTTCTCTAAGCTAAACAATCTCAGCTCACTGGAAAGGGCTCCAACCCCTCGATCGTTTTAGCTGTCCTTTCCTGCACTTTTCCCAACTCTATCGTATCTTTTATAAGGTGCACTGACTAGAACTGTGCCCAGTACTCCTGCCCTGTGCACTCCTCGTGGAAAAGTAACAGATTTCTAAAATTAAAAAATACCCAAATCTGTAATAAAAAAACGCCGAGTTCTACATCTCCCTTGTAAGATATAGCTCTGTGTTAGTGGTTTAACTTTTAATTTTATCCGGCAATGCGATCAGACTGGATGCAAATGTTAAAGAGACTGAACTTTGTTTTAAGGGACTGATTTTCAGCATGCGTCAGGTGGAGACGACAGGAAATTTGTCATGAAAGCTTCACCTGCTGAATTTCCTTTCTGACACTCCCAATTAAGGATGCAGTGCATGAGTCCTGTTCACTTTTGCATCCTCCCAACATAATTTGCTCCTCTCACCATCAATTTAGGTATATTTCTGAGAATTTAAGAATAGCTTGCCTGGAAATACAAATAGGAAGACATCTGCCTTTGTAGAGCTGTTACAGAAAAACTGTGCATAATCTGACATCTTCTTTATATTAACAAGTTAAAAGTAAACAGTGAACTGGCTTAAGAGTTTTACATGAAGCTGTTAATGTTATTACAGACCTCTCTGGAGCCTTTTTCCCTACTATTTACATATAGAAGTTGTATTACATGGATGGGATCAGTTTATAAGGAGGTTTTAAAAATTTCCCTTTGAACTCTACAGCATGTTTTCTAATAAGTGTTGTCTGGCATTCATGAACAAAAGAGCAGAAAACACAGGCATGCACAGACAAAGATCTAATATTGCGGTACTGCAATATCCCAGGTGAGAATGGCTCTATTTGCTGCCTCACACTGTTACAAAAAAGAAGCACATGTTATTTAGCCTTGCTTTAAATAAATAACAAGTCAATTTGCAACTCCCTTAGCGTATATTCTCTCTCTGGAGCTGGTATTTCTCTCCCGTTGGTGAATCTCAGGGCTTCTAGCCTCCATCCTGCACCACTGGGTGCCTGGATGACCCCAAGCTCCTATTTTGCCATGCAATGTACACAAGTAGGTATACAACTCCAGTCCTTCTAGGACACTGCCAAATTCAGGCTGGTAAAATATCTCAGCCCCCTGCCTTTTCTTGTTTTCTTTCCATAAATGAAAACATCCCTGGAGTACAAAATGCCCAAAATTTGCACAAGGAGGACACACTTTGAGGCACTAAAGAGGTTAATTACAGGTAATCTCAGCAGGAAAAAAGCCAAGGGTTTGAGCTAAAATGTTCAGCAAGTAAAATCAAGATTCATGGAAGGAAAGCATGTTTATGCTGGTCTGAAGTCTGTAGGCCAAACAATTTTAATATAGATTAATGATAAACAGGCCAAGCAATTTATGAAGGATTATTAATCCTGCATAGCCTCAGGAAAGGTGAACTGTTAAATTACCTATCCTATATTAAACTTGAAATTCATTTTTATGCTGATACCTCCTGGGGGAAACATTCAGTCAAACAATGTCCTTTCCTAGGCAGGATTTGCCTTGCCTGAGGCAGTTTTGTCTGGGGTCATAAAATGTCCCCACAAGCAAACAATGCTAGGCTCGAAATCCATACTGGATGAAGTTAATTTAAAAAACCAAAGTAGTTCCCCGAGCCTTGAAGTCTGCCCATTCCTCCAGCACAATTCACAGTTGCACTCCAGCACACAGACCTGCAATGCACATGCTGAGCAGAACTTTAAAATGCGCTGCTCTTGTCTGAACTTCAGAAATATACATAAGCCACTCTTCCCCACCCGGGTGCCCTTAATATGTGTTTAACTCCAATGCCCTCCACCCACCATCATACTCCAAATCCCAGCTGCAGATAAAGCCAAGGCAGTTGTTGAACGAATCGCAACTGGGTTCCTGAATGCAAAAATAAATGTTCTAACCTTCACAACCAAACGGTTTGGGCTTTTTAAGGAAGGGAAAAGGATGCTGTGGCACATTCCCCAGACACATCTTTGAAATATCGACGAAAGAATGGCAGTATGTGGAAAAGCTGTTAGGGCTCCAGAAAAGGTTGGAGCCAAACAAATTATCCAGGAAATCTTTGTGAACACTGCTATGTACAGGTGCATTTAAAAACCTAAAAACAAACCTAATCCCTTTGGAATTAGACCTGACCAAGTCACTGAAAGAACACAGCAAAATAGTTAGTATTTCGGCTTCACATTAACCCAGGCCAATTTCAATGCAGCTAAAATAATAAAATACAAATGGCTAACGCCCCCTTGAAAAAAAGATTTATGGCAAACAAGTTTTGTTCACTTTCGCTGTATATCCACTCTTGCTTTTATACGCACAAAAGTGAGCATCTTCACTTTGCAGACTCTTCGGTCATTCAATAAACAGTGCAGAAACGGAGAGTCCAGCTCAAGAACATTAAGGCTTACATCCTACTCTAAGTGTCCTTGTCGTACAGAAGTTAAGCCTCGTGGCACACCGTGGACTTATTTCCGGGTAAACATGCTGGGGAATGCATTGCATGGTACCCACTGAAGATCATAGTTTTGCCATGCACGCCTGCTGGAACCCCTTCTTTCTGCAAAAGGCTTCTCTTTAAAACACAATTCCACAATTCTCTTTCTTCAACTGGCATGGAGGGTGCAAAACCCATGGTGGCCAGAACGGCCACATGCGTTGCAAGCAGCTCTTCTCAGACGCATGCGGTCTCTTCTGCCCGACCAGCCGATGCTTGGAATTAGCGTGTGCAAGAGAAGCTTGAAAGGTCTCAGTGTACAGAAGAGGCCACAGTTAGCTGAGATGCATTCAAGTATTGCAAGAGGATTCACAGGACTCCTCAGGGCATCATCGCGCTTTTGCCCGGGACATGAAGGTTAGGATGCGCCTGATGCCGTTGAGCCGGTCTTTCAAGGACGTCATGGCAAGGAACGGGAGCTGAGCTCTGCTCTCAAGAGGTAGGACAGCCAGTATCCACCATCCCCAGGCAGGGCCATTGGGGCTCGCCTGTGGAAGAAAACGCAAGGGTGACGGCTGTTTCGATCTGAATGGCAAGCCCTGCCAGATGGAGGACATGACTCTTCAGAGCTTGCTGTCAAGCTGTGTGATGTGCAGCCGCCAGGCTTTGCCACGGATGTCACACTGGCTAGCTTTAAAATGGGGCTGGCCAGAGGCATGGGGGCTAGCCATGGCCACTGTTCCTGGTGGCCACGTGCTACGCTCGGCATCAGAGGCAGTCTGCCCATTTGCACCAGTTGTGGGGGAACACGGCTGGGCAGGCATTTGCTGAACTCACACAGAACGCCGGACTGTTCGCAGGCCTTTGCTCTGATCACTGGCAGTTCTTATGCTTAATGTTTGCCTCAATGCAGCATTAGGACTTTTATTTATTTGGGAGTTTCTAGCCCATCCAATCACTTTCATCTCTGGACGGCTCACAGGCTCACTTTCGTCTCTGGACTTCAATTCCTGGCAAGCCCCAGCCCGTCACACTGGCCCATTTTTCCCGTGTAAGCATAGGCAGGTCAACTCTTTCAGTTAGCCTTCCCCACTCTTGGACTACAGCTTCCATCATCCCTAGCCAGCAGGGTAACTGGCCCTTTGGGCATGACGGAAGCCCCACACAAGGAATAACTGGCACTGTGGCACATGCAGCTACGGCTGCACAAAAGGGTTTTGCTCTTCAGGGCAAGCCTTTGGGGACATGCAGCACCTCACAGTTGCTTTGTTTGGCTGCTCTTGGAGGTCGCCTCCTTCCCCAGAGGAGCGCCAAAATGCTACTCTGGGATCACAGAAGTACAGGCTTGGAAGCCGGCTCAGGGCTCATGCAGTCCGACCCCTGCTCAGTGTAGGATCCGCCATGCAACAAAGGCACCCCAAGGGATACCTGCTCGGCCTCTGCTGAGACCCGTCCCACAGAGGAGCGCTCACCTCCCCGACCCACCCGGTTCCACTCAGCACAAGTCTCGCTGCTGAGACATCTCTCCTGAAATCCAGCCACACTCTATTTCCTATTTTTTAAAATTTCTCCTTCAAAGAAAGAGCGAGGGTTGGGGGCGATCGCATGCCCCCGTGCTTTGCACTCCAAGTTCCACAATAGATCATGCTCACTCGGGCAGATGGGATTTGCAGTTCAAAGCATCTGGAAGGGCACTGGCTTGCCTAGCCTTCTGCTTTAACAAGAGGCCAGCCTAGATTTCTTAGGGCTCAGGGAATGTGGGGGAGGGGTCCCCAGCACTGCCCTTCTCTATACAGACGGTGGCCATAAGCATTGGGGAAACAAATACACCCCACAAAGAGCCACTTTAAAATAGGATCATCTGCTCTGAGAGGGACCCTCAGGATATGGGAAGTAGAAGCCAAGTACAAGTCCCTATGCCCGCCCGCCCCCTCCTGACCCCCCTCCCACTCCCCACAGCATTCTCAACGCAGCCCTGGCAGACTGCTTGGCCTGAATGGGTTTTCTTCAACGCAGCCTTCTCCAGCTGGGCTCCCTTCAGAGGTGCTGGATGACAGCCCCCAAGGGCACCCAGCTGGGGAATGCTGCTTGAACGGAGTGCTCAAAACAGTGTTCCTGTGCAAACAGGCTGTGCAAACATCATGCACAAAGCCAGGCTGAGATTCTTCTGATGCTGCGCACGGCCATGTGCTGTACCTGTGGGTCTGAGTCCTTGGCAGGCATTGGCCCAAAATGACTGAGGATACGGCTTTTGAGGGCTGGCTGGAGAGAATCAAACCACAGGCAAGCCTGATTGTACACAGAATCGTGGAGCATAGTCAACTTGGTGTATTCTTCCCCTTGTACCTGAAAGTCCAGAGTATAAATAAACAGAGGAGTTTTAATTACAATGCCGGTGGGATTCTAAGAAAAGAACAAGGCACCAATACTGAAAGGTGGATTCAGGAAGCTCAAAGCCTTCCTCTGAAGCTAGATTTTATCTCAGAGGATAACACTGAATAACCTCTGCTGGGCCATGGCCATAAGAAATTAACTGATTGACTGACTGACAATTGAATGCCACCTTCATCTCTTTGGAAGGAAAGTACAATGCAGTGTGAATACTACTAACAACAACAATGCACTTCTCAGCAACTTGATGTCCTCTCCAAGATTCCAACTCTTAAAATCCAAACTTTCTACTGTCCCAGCTGGCTGAGGCTGATGGGGGTTATAGTCAGAAACATCAGGAAGGCATCAGACTGGGGAAAGCCATAGCAAAATATCTATAAAGAGCTTCTTGTGTCCAAAGGCCAGGAATTGGGGAGTTGAGGGTAATGGCTTGCTTTGGCTACCTGGAAAGTCAGGGGCTAATGAGAGATTTTAACCCATGATTTTCCATCCCCCTTTCTTAGCCAGTATGCTTCTTGTCTGCTTACTAGAGGGCTCCCGTAGCAAGCTCATTCAGTGCAGAATGCCAGCCTAGGATGCTGTTCCCCAGGGCGTTGGATGGGCAACCCACCCCATCTGTCTGTACGCCAAGTGGACCAAGTCAATACACACCACCTGATCTTCTATGTACTCGATGTCTGCCGTGTTGTATCCATCGCGTTGGCTGTGCTGGATCACTTTGAACCTCCTCTTGCCGATGCTGTCAACTACAGATCGCCCGTCGGCGAAGAACTCAACGTTCCTGATCTCCAGCATACAGCCATAATCTGCAAAACTGGTGCACAGAAGGGCCCAAGGAAAGAAAAAGGGTTTACTCTTTCTGGCTGTTGTTCCCACAGAACCATTCACTAATCAACAGTGCCATTTCCTGCTACTTCTAGAGACATTACGTTGGCCTATTGCAGCTCTTTTCAGAAGCGATAGTTTTAAGGCACTCCTGACACTCTGATCTTATATCAGGAGCTTCCCTCTGATATAGAGAATAATACCCTAGTTTACAGCTGCAACGGATCCAGCCAGTACCTTGCTTAAAAAATCATGCCCTCAAATGTGAGGTGAAGGCAGCTAGCAGTGCTATGGGTATGTGATCCTTTGCATCCAAAGAGAGGGAAAATGGTCACGGATTCCAGGACGGGCAGCTTTAAAACAGGATGGGCCAAGTTCACAGCAGCTATTCATGGTTACTTTCCCGATGGTCAAATGCTGCGTCCAGCCCATGGGTGCTGCTCATGAGCAGCGGTGCTATGGAACGCGGAGGGAGGGGGTCGCTGCACACATGCCATGCTTGGGTTTCCATAGGCAGTGGGTTGGCCCCAGGCCCACATAATGCTGGACTAGATGGACCCTTGCTCCGACCTAGCTTTTTGTCCTGGGTATGGCTGTAACAGGGCTTTCAGATGTAAGGAAAAGGTTGAGTGACCCAGTCTCAAAACAGGCTACTAGCCAGAAAAATCTAAGTGGGAGGCCCAGGTGCAGAACCAAAGGGCAGAATGTTTTGCTTGTCTGGAATCTGCAAGTGCAAGAGGCACCTTCCGGGGGTGGGACGTGGTGCTAGAGAAAGTCAGCTTTCATGCTTAAAAATATTCCATTAATTCCTAGCTTTCAAAGGTATGCTGAATATTGTGAAATCATACCAAGCATACACAGCTAAGGTGGGCAACTTCTACCCTTCTAGAGGGATTAAGGTGCATCTTTTTCACCCAGCTTTTCAAATTATTGTGGTTCTTAAAGGTTTCTGAAGTTGTTCTAAACCTTTCGCAATTTAATTAAATTCACAATTTATTCAATTATGTCTTTTTATTTTTATGTCTTTTTCTAAAACCTTGGCTGGCTCTCAGAATGGCAATCTAGAAAAACAAAAGATTAATGAATACAAATTGACACAACCTGCAAACTCTCATAATGTAAGGCACTTTTTTGCATGGCGTTATGCAAATATATTCTCTCTTCCACGAACTTATAAACAAATGCATCTCAGGAGTTTTAGCAGCTTTTCAGATGCTGGCTCAAGTGCTGGGCTGATTAAATCTGAAGGAACAACTCCTATAACAACATCACCAAGGAAAGTCCAAAATTGCAGCCACCTGTGTTAAGCTGTATCAACAACCCAGTCCTAAGAGTTTTCATCCAGTGGGAGCAGATGTTTTGAAAACCTGATGGGTCTTCATTGCCCACTCAAGATCAAGCAGACCCCAAATACTTTACATCACAAAAAGGAACCATGTATTGTGTCAGGGAAATTCAGTCCAAATGACCCTCTCCCTGCCCCCTATTGTGAAGACCGCACCCAAGCTTAGAGACCGGGGGGAGGGGGGGACTGACATCAGCACTCCTGCTAATCAAGAAGGCTCATGCTGCACCCTGGCAGCCCGGGTGCCACAACGCCACTGGCTGGCTGTCCAACTATGGCAGCAAAGAGACCCCAGGAACATGACGGGCCAACAAGGGGAGACCTGCTGGGTGTTCGGCACATGGGCCCCTCCCTCCGTCCCTCACTCACCCTTTGACAGGGTCTCCAAGGCACATCCCAAACTGCTTGGTGCCTGTCTCCATGCACCTGCGGATCATCAGTCGGTAGCACGGCTCGAAGATGTGCAGCGGGCACGGGACAGTGGGGTAGGCCATGGTGCAGATGAATATGGGAACGCTCTTATTCAAGCTGCAGGACAAAGCTTGTGTTAAGGCGCGCACGCTCCCAAGCAAAGGCACTGGGGAGGCAGATGGGAAGAGAGGGATGCCCACTGCACAAGTTGTACTCAGAGCTTGTGCACTGCGCTGCAACTGAATACATGTTTGCATCTTTCGGTGCATTTTCTCTAATCCACCAACGGGGCGGCCTGCAACTGTTGTCTATACTGGCCTAGATCACCCAGTCCCAGTGGCGTTTTGGGGAGGGGGCGGTTAGAGCAGCACTTTAAGCCTGACAGCCAAATTCCATTTGGGAAAAGCTCTCGGGGCCACAGTCCAAGGGTTGTTCTGGCCAAGCGACGAATGAGCGCCCTCCGCAAGACATGGTCCTTGGCAGCGCTGTTCAGGCTGGTGGGGTAAAGGAAAAGGGACGGGGCCAACACCACCAGCTTATCGTAGCTTGATGCTCTTACCACCAAGGACTGAGTCTCAGGAGAGGCATTTATACCTTTTAGGCTGGGAAAGAAATGGTACAAATGCCAGCAGGGCATGATTTGGGGAAAGAGGCCAGGGCCAGGGAAAGAGACCCAAATTGAGCTGGGTTTAGGTGCTGGGAATCAAGTGCTTCTCAAGCAGATGTCTAATTATGAAGTCCTCATCTTAATCTTGTAACCCACCCCCGCAAACCCAGTATTTTCCCACTGCTTTTTCCCTCGTCTTCTCCCCGACCCCCAGAACACAGAATCTGAAAAGGAGGAAAAGACAGAATAGTGACTGGAAGCACTAGGACTCCATCTGGAAGCAGCCCCAGTATCAGGTTGGTGCTACAGGTATCCAGTTACATGGATGGTTCTGCAACGAAGAAGCAGAATCTGACCCCACTGTTTTAAAAACAGAAAGCCCACCTGTTACCCAAATCATTATACTTGACTTAAGAAGAAGAGACCGCTTTCTGGGAGGGCAAGTGGCAGAAGGCAAAGACAAGTCTGATTGTGTTTACATTCGCAGCTCTGAAGAGGAATTTTGGGTGGTGGGCTAGCTAAAATAAGGCAAGGGAAGCCCTGTTGTGTCTTGTCAAGACACAGATGCTGTCTTGTGCAGGACTAGGCAGACGTTGGGGGTGTGGAGGCTGCACTGCCCACTTCCACTAGTGCGGCCTCCTGCTCCCAAAGTTGCCACCACAACAAGAAGTGCAGCGCTTTCCTCAGCTTTGCGTATTTGACACGGCTAGAGGAGATTCAGCGAGGGGAGCAGTGGCAGCCCCCTCAGCACAGCTCGCCCTGGGCATGCCGTCCACAGGTGGCCCCTCCCAGAGCCTGGTGGCTGGAGGGAAGGGGAACCTACTTGGAAAGTTCCGCGATTTCCTCTTCATAAAGCTTTCTCCGCTCCATGAGCTCCTCAGGAAGGTACTTTGCGATCAGTTCCTCCATGAGCACCGTCTTACAGTGTTTTCTCAAGGCCAAGCACTGCAGAAGGAAATGGGGTTGTCAGCCACAGCACAGAAACTGCAGGGGTCCTACTACAGCATTGGAACACACAGACTTCGTATTCATCCGCCTGCCTTTGTGTGCACACACCTGTGTGTGCCCCCTCTGGTTAGCAGACGTCTGGCAGGCTGGAATGGCAGCACAGGGCCCTTCCGAGGCATCCTGTCCTGAGATGTGGCTTACGGCAGTGGTTTTCAACCGCTGGTCTGGGCACCGGAGCTGGTCCGTGGGAGACTGCCTGCTGGTCCATGGGGGGCTGCATCCTGCTCACTGTGGACTGGCACAGGGGCTGGCTGTGTGCCAACTCTTCCTCAGTTGGCATTGTGTTCATGGGGGGTGCACTCATGAGGGACGGGGAAGAGGAAAGACGGCTCGGTGGGAGCTGGCTGGAAGCATTTGGGTATTTTGTTGGCATTGTTTGTTGCTTGGTTTCTGGTTGTTTTGGAGAATTTTCATTTTTTTGGAATTGTGTCTGGAAACTAATACACAGAATACTATACTATGTGCCTGGTGCTTTTTGTTTCTGCCTTGGTGGTCCCCGCGGTGGTTTTCCTGTTTTTGCCAGCTCCCAGCTGTGGAGCTGGTCTGTGGAAAGAACCAGACTAGTGTCCTTCTCAAAACCGCCAGATGGCAAGGCACTGCATGAGAAGCTGGCCTACCTCACAGGGTTCTTCTGAGGATACAATGCAGCAATCCCTGTATATGCCACCTCGAGCAATTTGGAGGAAAGGTGGTGTATGATGTGACAATACTAACAGCACTACCACTTGTAATTGAGGAGATTCTAGGACAGAAGCTTGTTCAGCTACATCCCACCTTCCAGTTTTAATACGAAGAGGTGGTCTTGCAGATTTCGAGTTATGAGCAGGAGAATGTACAATGAAACGCTCTTCCATTTATCCTTTGCCTATCCATCATCATCACACATTGTTTTCTCCCTCCTACACCGTAGTCAAAACAATTAAAAACAGACTGAGTATGGAGAAACTATGGCCGCATCGTCCGCTTCCACTGCAGCCCTAAAGGAGCTAGGTCTTTTCAGTGGTGGCCCCACACCCGATGTCTCCTACCTTCAGGCTTGCACACTGGGCAGACCGTGCATGTGATGGGTGGCATGTGCCCCCGGCTTCTCTGTGCAAGAGACCTGATCAGCGCTGCTACACCGGAGCTGCCTAGTTCTGCCAACAGCTTGGCATTACCCCCTCCCAAAGCACAACAGGTAGACTTACCTCTGACAGTTCCTCCTTGCACAGGGGACATTTTGGGTTGTGATCCAGGCACCTTTCGAGGCATTTCAGGCAGAAAGTGTGTCCACAAGGAGTGGTGACAGGTTCATAGAAGAGCCTGGAATGAGAGGGGCATCTGAGTTTTAAAAAGCACTCTCAGCAGTTTGCATTTACAACCATTTCCAGGCCACCTGGCAATGGGGAAGTCCAAAGCCTTCAAAGAGTAGGAAATACTAGGAAAGTTACAAGCCGGACCTGCAACAAAATGATACAGCATGCAGTGCTCCTGCCCTGGGTTCCAGCCAGCCATGCCCTGTTCCAGGATGATCCACCCATTCCTCCCTCCTTTCCCACTTTTTCTATTTGCTTCTTCCTCACCATTCCTCAGCCACTGAGCAGGCACAGTCCTCACTGGCTCTTTTGCTCACCTACTGCCCTCAGTTGTTTTCCCTGATTAAAAGGAGAGCAGCTTCTGCAAAGCGCAGGGTTTTCCTGGCTTGTGGGTGCTTCCCTCTCGGGCACGGGTGCTGCTGTTTTGGCTACATAAGGAGCCACACTTAGATAAAGGGATTGCTGTTGGCATGTAGCTGTGTTTCCTCATTCTAAAAGGCAGAGATCCTTCTTGTAAGGCCTAGTCCCTGTCAGGAATTGCCTTAAATTGGAATCTGTTGCTGTTTTTGCTGTTTCCTACATTTTTGGCCACACCCCATAGCCTTCAGCCCCTCCCATCACTGGAACCTGCCCACCTCCACCCCGGAGAGGTCGTCCAGAATGGAATGCAGCCTCTGGGCTGAATGCGTGTAGCACCTTTGCTGCAAAGCAAGCACAAGTGCCCCCATCAGAACTGGGTGCATTGCAGGTGTTTTGCAAGCACCTGGGCTGGCCGCTCAGTCACTTACTCACTGAACAGATGTGGGTCAACTGCACTTCTTGTTTGGGCTGCCAAACTAGGGCAGCGGATGCTTTGCTCACTGGAGATGAGGTCACCGGGATCCCCAGACTAGGCGATTCAGATTCGCTGGCATTTTGTAATGGACACCCTTGATGGGTGGCAAAATTCCTCAAGTTAAAACAGAAGGACACAGGCCTGGGCCAAATTTCCAGCCTACCACCTGCCTGGATCCTCAGAAACAAATGTCTTCTCGGTTACGGCACATGTAGCTGCTGCCTATAGCGCCTATTTCCCCTCAGGGCATGGGCGCCACCCTCTGGGCCTAAGCATCTCCCAGGGACTACTCTTAGGACTAGCTGATGATACCTTGTTCCATCCTAATCCAAGCTTAACTCCAAGCTGGCATTATGTCCTGTTAAAGCTTGAGCTGTGAGTCCTGGCACAATGGGGTGGAATGGTTTTGTCTTCAAGAGCAGAAAGGAAGCAAGTGAATGCACTCAAGGTTCATTTCTGGTCGCTAAAGTGCATCACTAACAGCTGCATCTCTGTGCCAGGCATGAAATGCGTCCCGGTTCATTTTGGGTCGGCATTTCTGCTGTGGACCAGAGCGCAAGACGCCACCCATGTTTGAGCATGCAGTGTGACTCATGGAACACACACGCAGATACATTTAAAAAATGCACATGCTTTTAAAATGTGCATGAATGTGTACTTTTCAAAAAAGGCGCACCAACTCAGTATGACCAGTGGGGGAAATGGGTACATTTAAAAATATGCACAACTGATGCCCACACAGGAAAAATGCACATGCTGATATGCAGTTCTCTGAAGAAAGCAAAACAAAACACCCCATCTGGAAGGAAATTCAAGGTGGAATTAGAGAGCCTTAGACAGCTCCAGTTGCGCTGATCCGTCCGTACACCCCGGCCCTGTGCTGGTCCACCCAGTCCAAGGGCACAAATACCTCATGCACAGCGAGCATTCCAGGTCAGATGGATCCACGAATTCAAACAAAACACCGTTTCCAGCACTGGACCCTTTAGTGTCGGTTGTATCTATCAAAGACAAGGGGGGGAAGGCAACCATGTCACAGAGCTGGAAAAAGCAGGCATTGTGCTGATGTCAAACGCATACACTTAGTCACAGAAATGTCGACTCCACACACCCACAATCAGTGACCTCATTTTGTGGGAAATGATTTTTCTAGGCACCTTGCATTGCAGTACCTTAGAATCAACCCCAGGAACACAAAATTCCAACTTTCTGATGTGTTTAATTCTAACGTTATACATTAGGAAAGTGCATTGGCAGTTCTCCCCAACCCGGCACCCTCTGGAGGTGTGGGATTACAAGACTGATCAACCCCAATGTGGAGGTGGTGGGAGTTTCAGTCCAACACATTTGGAAAGCAGCAAAGTTGCCATTAGCCCCACCTCTCAGGCTGAGGAGGACTTTCAAGAACACAAGAAAACCCACACTGGATAGAACCAAAGGTCCAGCTCTCCGCACAGGTGGCGGCAACCCATCCACCCCCAGGATCCCTTGACCTTCATGGGTTCAGGACCTGCTCCTGCCCAAGCTCCTCAGCAACTACCACCTCTGGTAATGGGGGGAACCCATAGTCCACAAGGCTAGTAGCCACTGGTAGCCTCCTCCCTCATGAATCTGCCCAATCCCCTTGTAAAGCCAGCCAGACTGGCAGAAAATTCCCATGGCAGCAAATTCCTAGTTTAACTCTATGATGTATGAAGAAGGACTTCCTTTGATCTGTCCTAAACCTCCCACCAATCACCTTCATGCAACAAGGAAGCAAACTAGTATTATTTTTATTATGATTACATTTATAAACTGCCATTTTCCTCCCTGCAAGGAACCCAAGGTGGCATGCGTGGTCCTCTTGTCCATTTCATCCCCACAACCTGCAGAACGAGGTGCTAGAAATCTGGCCTGTATCACTTCACAAAGCAGGGTAGCGCTTTTCGTTTTGCAAGCTACTCCCACTTTAGAAAACACCCCTCTGCAAACTCCATGCGCTTAGGGAACTAGTCTCATCCTCTAATTTTCTTTCTCTTTTCTGATGTGTAAGTATAACACAGGCTTCTGTTTATTTCTGCACAGCAGGTAGATTTTCTACAGCTAAAAAAAGGGTGTGCATTCACATATCATTGCAATTAAGTATCCAAGTATCTCATGTTGCATATCCATGGGCAAAATCTTCCTAGTTTCTCCTCTTTTAAATTCACTCCATTTCAATCCCAGCCTTGGATTTTAATTCCCGCCCCCCCCATCTGCCAAATAAAATAAAATAGAATAAATAAAAATAAAAATGGTATGGCCTTTGGTGTTTATCTTTCAACATGTCTTTAAAAAACTGGGCACATTTTATGAGCATTCTTGCCAATGCGGACACTTTAAAAAGCGATTCATTGTGTGTATGTGTTTTCAGATGGACACATTTTGTGCCCCTGTTCTGAAATGCAGGCACTCCTGTGCTTTCTTCGACTGAACAGCACTGTAACTTTCGGACACATGCAGATGTTGATGATAAACTGTACCCTGGTTCATGCTGAGGTTCAGAAAGTGTGAATTTGACAAGTTTCTGCGGAAGTGTGCATGCGACAGATTTCTTATCTACTTCTCTCTGTCCAATCATAACATTCACCCTTCTGAATGGGATGTGGAGCCTTAATCAGAAGTATATGCAGCTTACCTGTTTTCATAACTTTGGTTGACCGGTCAGTGTTTGAGACTTCTGAGTCAAGCTTTCTCTTTAGAATCCTACAATTCTCAGAAATAAGAATGGCAGACTTTGTTGTTGAGGCGGTATGTGTGTTCTCATCCAGGTTTCCTTTCCGGCCCTCTGTCCCTTGGACAGGTTTTCCAGAGCTGCCACAGTCTTTCGCTTTCTGATCCTCATGGGGAATGAGACTCTTTTCTTGCTCCACATTTGCCTGCACAAAAGAGACAAGGTTACTGCTGATCTCACAAGACCTTCAAAGGACTTATTTTGACACACACTTGCATAGCCAAGGTGACAGAGCACACAACGACCGTACAACCAAAGGCTTTGAACAGGAAAGCAAGCAAACCTCAATGGACTGCTCAGAGGGCGGTATACCAAGAGCATCATTCCATCACCTATTTCTATGACTGAAGAACGGATAAAAGTCAAGCTTAATTTTCATAGCTGGGATCACTGGCATGGAGGACATTTAAATGCCTAAAGGCAGAAGTCCTCAAGATCTACCTTGGAAGACAAGGACATTTTGATTGCTCCTTCCTTTGAATTTGTTTTCAGTCTTAGCAAGACCAGCAACTTCTGCTTTCATCACATCTTACAGCATCACACCCATATTAAAAGAGTCCTGTTTTCCTTTTCCCTGCTCTTCCTGTTTTTCCTTTTGCACTATGTCTTGCCAACTACAGGGCAGGGACTGTCTCATTTCCATTGATCCCTAAGCCCACTGGGGAACCTTTCCTTCAAAAGCACGAAGGCTATAAAGAAGTAAAACCAATCAATACATACATAGCTATGAATATCCATCTGAATTCATTGGCTCCGAGATGCAAGATTCCTTCTTTATAACCCAAGAGAGCCTAACCTCATTTTGGAAATGAAACTCCTTTTTTTCCAAAACCTTGACCAATGCAAACTCATTCAATATATCTGTCCAATGCCAGTCCCTGTGCTAAGGCTCTTCCAACTCAGAGGATACCTCCCCTTCTGCCAATAACATGTTCCATATTATTAACATATTCCACGTAACATGTTAATAACAACACTTATTGACATGTTAATAAGTCCCACAAAAATGATACACATGGAATTCCACCCCCACCCCTAAGGTTTTTTCTTTCTCTGCCTTTTATACATCTTAATCCACAACCACAAGTTGCTGCTGACATGTGATGGGATTGCACATTTGCGCAGGCATTTCTTAGCACTGGGGAAATGGTTGCAAAAGATTTGAGAGGTCCTGGAAACTACCTGAGTGAATGATTATGCGCACACAACAAACGACTTGTGTAGAGAAGCCCATGGAAAGGGGCTCCTTGGCCCTTAGGCTCGCTTCTAAGCACCTTCAGCAGCAAGCGGACGCAAACTGCACAACCCCCCCCCCCACACCATCTCTCCCACAACAAAATATGCCACAAAAACACAGAACCACTGATGAGCATTACCTTGAGCAAACTCTGCAGGCTTTGGCTGGTGGCCCCAGAAGCCACTGAACTTGAAAGGTTCCCTTTTAATCCGGAGTGATGGGACGACAGCAGCAAGACGCTGTGCAAGTTTTCCTGAGCATTCCCCGGTATATGCGAAAATATATTAAGTAGAAGCTACGAGATAAAACAAACACGCATACTTGGCTATTTGGTTTGGCGATGGAGCATGCACTTGCATGTGGAAGCTTCCATGCAGCTCCATTTAAAAGGACGAGGTGGCAGGTGGCAGAGGGACCGCCCCCACCTGACAGCCCAGAGAGCTGCTTCTGGTCACATTAGACCACACTTCCCCAACCAAGTGCCCTCCAGAGGTGTTGGACTTAGGCAAGTCTGTAGTTTGTCTCTGACTGGTATTTATCCCGTCTACTCACATGCTGCACAAGGGTGTAGCTGCCTGAGAAAGGGGACTTCCACTGGGACCAAACTAGCAGCCAGAATGGTATCATTGCGGTATTATTGCATGATCTGTCTGCAGGGCCAGTGACTCCGGCTAATGCCTGGTGGGAGGAGTACTGCACTGGGATTCAGGAGGTCTTGGCTCTAGTCCCTACTTGGTCATGCAGCTCACTGGGTGATCCTGGGCCAGCCAATGACTCTTAGCCTAACCTACGAGAGGTGGTTGAGGCCCCATCGGTGTGGGTGTTCAAGGACAGGCTGGACGTCCACATGGTGGGCATGTCGTGAGTAGAGCCGGCTGGAGCCAGGGGTCAGGCTAGATGGCCTGGAAGGCCCCTTCTGACTCGCTCTGTTTCTATGTTTCTATCTCGCTGGGTTGTTGCAGGTTCAGATGGAAAAGGAGGAAGACCATGCAAGCAGCTATGGATTCTCTGCAAGGCTAAGAAGGGTGTGGTATAAATGCAACAGGAGCGACCACAACAGCAGCAGCAGCAGCTCAGCTGACTGCCTGGATGAGCCCCGCTTCCAGGCAGCAGCCAGAATGCTTCAGAAAGAGGCGGCCCCTGCTCTTGCACAGCCCAACCAAGAATCGGTGTGTTCGCTGTGAAGTTCCTGGCAGCCCAGGTGTACACGCAGTACCGCAGCCGATGACTCCAACCAACGCACTGTTACGCAGCTTTGCAACATTGCAGTGCCTTGTTCAGGCATGCCAAGATAAGTGAAACCACACAAGGCTAGTGTTTGGCATGGGAAAGGAGTGTGCTGACACACCAGGAAGGAAGGCAAAGTTTCTAAACAGGGCACAGAGGAGTTTATTTGTCATCTGAGAAAAAGCAATTAAGTTTTAACACTGGGTGCCAAACAGCTCCAGGGACTGGCAGGGGGAAGGTCATGGTGACGTGCTGGTGACACCAGTTACTGGCCAATCAGCACCTGCTCCCAGACACCTGAGGCATGGCAAAGCCCTGCAGAACTGGCTTTTCAAAGCTTGCCCAAAGGCAGAAAGGCTGCGCATGTGCACATGCCCGAGCACAGCAGCACTGCGGTCCTTGTGCTAACTCATTATTATCTGGACCCATTTCAGTCTGGCTTCAGACCCGGGTACGGCACTGAATCTGCCTTGGTCGCCCTGTACAATGACCTGTGCAGGGAGAGAGACCGGAAATGCGTCCCTGTTGGTTCTCCTGGACCTCTCAGCAGCTTTCGATGCCATTGACCATGATATCCTTCTGGATAGGCTAGTGGGATTGGGGGTCGGAGGCACTGCTTTGCAGTGGTTCCGCTCCTATCTCAATGGCCGATTCCAGAAGGTGGTGCTGGGGGACTATGGCTCTGCGCCATGGCAGCTATGCCATGGAGTTCCGCAGGGGTCCATTTTGTCCCCCTTGCTATTCAACATCTACATGAAACTGCTGGGAGAGGTCATCAGGAGGTGTGGGCTGTGGAATCATCAGTACGCTGATGATACCCAGCTCTACCTCTCGTTTTCCACCAATCCAGGTGAGGCAGTGTTTGTGCTGAACTGGTGCCTGGCCAAGGTAATGGGCTGGATGAGGGCCAATAAACTGAAGCTCAATCCGGACAAGACGGAGGTCCTGTTGGTGGGTGGTTTGGGCTTCGGGGTGGGGGACTTGGGTATTATCCTAAATGGGGTCGCACTCCCTCTGAGGGACAGGGTTCGCAGCTTAGGAGTGCTCCTTGACCCTGAGCTGTCTCTAGAAGCTCAGGTGACGGCGGTGGCGAGGAGTGCTTTCCTTCAGCTTCAGCTGATCCATCAGCTGCGTCCCTTCCTGGAGAACGACTGCCTGGCGACAGTGACACACGCGTTGGTAACTTCCCGATTAGATTTCTGCAACGCGCTCTATGTGGGGCTACCCTTGAAGATGGTCCAGATACTTCAACTGGTGCAGAATAGAACTGCCAGGCTGCTGACAGGGACTGGGTGTTGTTCTCATATAACCCCAGTTCTCCGTCAGCTCCACTGGCTCCCGATTGAAGTCCGGGCCCAATTCAAGGTGTTGGTTATGACTATAAAGCCCTCAACGGCTTGGGTCCTGGGTATCTAAAGGAATGCTTACGCCCATGTATGCCCTCCCGGCCCTTGAGATCAGCAACAGATGCCCTTCTCCGGGAACCCTCTGTGAATGATATTAGGAGGATGAGTACCCGGAAGAAGACCTTCTCTGCAGTGGCGCCCCATCTGTGGAATGCGCTCCCCAGAGAGGTCTGCCTGGCGCCCTTGTTATTTGTTTTTCGGTGCCAGGCTAAGACCTTTTTATTTAAAACTTATTTTAAGTGTTAATTTATTGGTTATTTATAGGATTTTAAATCTTTTAAGCCGAGATGCACTGGGTTTTAATATTTTTATTGTATAATTTTGTTCTTCTTGTGAGCCGCCCCGAGGCTTTGTTGCGATGGGGGTGGCATAAAAATGTTTTAAATAAATAAATAAATAAACTCAGCTTTTTTTAACGGGCTGTATCTGTTGTGACCCTCATAGATCTTTGCTTAGATATCTGAGGCAACAACTGATAAGCAATTGGCCAGAAACATTAATATTATTATTAATACTGCCAGTAGCATCAGTGTGCCTGGTGCTTTGCAAACTGAGAGGAGACAATCCCCTGCCCCAAGAAGCATGCAATCTAAAATTAGAAATAGGGAAGCAACAGAGGAAGACAAAGAGGCTGGGTAAAACAGGCAAGGAAAATGTGATTATTTCAGTTATGTGTATTGCAGCACTGTCAGAGAAGGATGTGTCAAAGGATTTTCTGAAAATATGAGTTTGGGGATGAATTTGAAGAGAGGGAGTCATGCATGTCAGGGAGACCATTCCAAGAAAATGGAGCACCAGGAGAAAATGATACGAACTCAACCCCATCCCTGTAGGAGTTTCAAAAATAAGTATATAAAATGGCAGAAAGTGAAGAGGAACTAAAGAACCTCTTGATGTGGGTGAAGGAGGACAGCACAAAAGTTGGCTTGAAACTCAACATCAAGAAAACGAAGATCACGGCATCCGGTCCTCTCACTTCCTGGCAAATAGATGGGGAAGAAATGGAGGTACTGACAGATTTTATTTTCCTGGGCTTCAAGATCACCGCAGACAGGGACTGCAGCCAAGAAATTAAAAGACGCTTGCTCCTGGGGAGGAAAGCTATGGCAAATCTAGACAGCATACTAAAAAGCAGAGACATCACCCTGCCAACAAAAGTGTGCATAGTCAAGGCTATGGTTTTCCCAGTTGCAATGTATGGCTGTGAGAGTTGGACCATAAGGAAGGCTGAGTGCCGAAGAATTGAGGCCTTTGAATTGTGGTGCTGGAGGAGACTCCTGCGAGTCCCTTGGACTGCAAGGGGATCAAACCGGTCAGTCCTAGAGGAGATCAACCCTGACTGCTCTTTAGAAGGCCAGATACTGAAGAGGAAACTCAAATACTTTGGCCACCTAATGAGAAGGAAGGACTTCCTGGAGAAGAGCCTAATGCTGGGAACAATAGATGGCAAAAGAAGAAGGGGACAGCAGAGGATGAGGTGGCTGGATGGGGTCACTGAAGCAGTTGGTGTGAGCTTGAGTGGACTCTGGGGGATGGTGGAGGACAGGAAGGCCTGGAGGAATGTTGTTCATGGGGTCGCGATGGGTCGGACATGACTTTGCGACTAACAACAACAAACATATTTTTTTAACCGGAGCACAGAAAAGATACACATATAAGCATATATGCAGTGCTTTAAAATGTGGGCATGCCCTGAAGAGGCTAGGTTTTATGACTAAGCAAATATTCAGTCTGCCAGCTAGCATGTTTGCCATTTGCTCTGGGAAGTCCGGAAGAAGCAGGGTGAGACACCCGTTGCAACATCTGTGATCATTCCAAATTGAATTGCTTTGTGCTCCACACTTTATACAGTAACAACAAAACCATGGTTCTCTGCCCTACAGAGCTTGCATCAGTTACGCTCAGAGATTACAATGTTGAGGGTCACACTGAAGCGACACTGCCGAAGGGCAACCATGTTCTGGAAACCAACTGGCTGTTTGCTTTCTAAAGGACAGGGGATGTCAGAATGCTGCATCCAGAGGTACGACCATGAGCCAGAAAGGTTTTTGAGACTCACCCTCTGAGCCTCCAGTTTGGCCATTCTATTTCCACTATCCAAAGTGAGGCAGAATAAAAACTCGTGTAAAGCTTCTTCTGCTTTCCCCAGGTTAGCCAGCGCTTGTCCCTTCCGAAGGTGGCCCTGCAAGAAAAGGGAATAGAGGTTAGCTGTTTTCTGAGGCCCTCCTGCCAAAGCTCAGCACCTGAAGGAACGATATCATGCCACCATGTGGCAGAGAAGATGGCACGCGGACAGTGGGTTCAGACATGCCAAACAACCCTGCATGGTTACCCCAGTTTGTCGTCACTGTGGTTTCTTCCCTCCCTGATCAGTCCTCCCACTGCTGGCAGGATTCCCATCTGCCACTGCACCTGAAATTCAATACCAAGGTGCACTGCTCCTTGCCTACATTGCCTGCTTCTTCCTCATCGGTTGGCACATTGGTTTGCTCTTTCCAGGGAATTCTGTCTCGTTGCGTAGCAGGACAGTGGAACCCGTGAACCTGGGTTCAACCAACACAACAAGCCATGGTAGTACAGAGAAACCAGAATAAACCTTTGCTTTTTTTCCTGTTTCTCCAGCCTACGCTTACCATGATGAAATACCATGATGGGATTCAGATGGCATGACAGACCAACAATGATAAAAAGCCATCATGGCCAGAGCTCATATCTGAAGTATGTGCAAGGACAGAAATGTACTTTGAATATGGTCAGAGATGCTCTCATCACGGATTAGTTACAGCCCAATCCACATTCTTGGGATTCGGAGCAAGATCTCTGAGAAAGGGCCACAGCTCAGTGGTGAAGCCCTTGCCTTGCATGTTCAGTCCCTGATATCTCAAGACAGGGCTAGCAATGGCCTGTGTCTGAATCCCAGAGAGCCACAGTTGGTTAATACAGACAACAAACTGGCCAGCATGTCACAGCTTCCTGCACCCGAGTTTGGCTTCTAGGCACACCTTACTCCAAACACTTACACATAAAAACACCACAGATGCTGAGCATTTATATAGGCCCTTGGGAGGATCTGAAACAATTCACACTCTTTGTGTTGTTACACTTCATAATAACCCCGTATGGCAGGCAGGTATTATTATCCCCTACTGTGGATGCAGACTGTGTCTGAAAGGGGGTGTTTCACTTAACCAAACGCGTTGATGAAAGAGGCAAGACTCAAACAAGAGGTATCTGGGACTCTCACTATGCAATAACAGCTCGTCTGTGGTGAGCAGGATTGCTTCCAGGTGAGCAGGCATGGACTCTTCCTTAAACTAGGTAATCTTCTAGAAACAAAGAATCTTGTGTAAACTTCCTCTCCATGTCCTTTCAGGCCACTGGTTTACCAAGAAGGACCAAAATATTCAAGGAGGAGTGACTTCTGTGCACCCAGAACCTCCCTGCACATGAGAGTCAGGCATTCAACAAGCTGCAATTCACTGCCAAGCCTCATCAGCCAAGCGACTTCCAGCCGTGAGAGCAGGAGTGACAAGCCATGGGGCACCGACTCCTGCTGTGCCATAGCGAAGCACAAAAGATTTAAACAGGGAGGGGGCACTTACCTTGACCCAGTACGGCTGGAGCTTACAGGCTATTTCTGCATCACTCAGTGCCTCTTTGCAATATTTCAAAGCTGAATTAATCTGGGACCGGTTGCTATACAACAAATGATCATTGGGAGCTGTAAGTAATGGAAACATTGACTCAGTACAACTATTAATTAAACTATCAGCACGACTGATGGACACACTATCTTTCAGCATCACTTGCTTCGCTTGTGTGTCCTGGGAATACCCATTATGAAAGTTTAAAATTAACTACAGCTCTCTCTCTCTTGGGAACGGATGCCATGAGAACCACTGCATTTGTCTTACACAAAACATTTGAAGAGTCGTCAGGGAGATATACAACTCTACTGTTCTTGGAAATCAGTGTGTGTACATATGGAATTAAGGTTTTATTTATTGCTATTCCATGCATATCCCCCCTTTTTCCCTTTTGAAGGAATCCTCCTCTTCCTGTCCATTTTGTCTTGTGAAGTAGGTTAGATTGCGAATTGACGACTGGCCCCAAATCACCAGTAAGGCTCATGGTTGAGAGGGGGTTAGAAGCTGGATCTTCTGTGCCCCAGTAGAATACTCTAACCACTAGACTACTGCACAGGGAGGGGCAGAAATACGGCTTGGGAAATTCTGAAGTTTCCCTGCATGGCCACAGCTCTTCCTGTCCATGTTGTCTTTTCTTTAACCACCGTTTTGGTTTCTCCAGCTTTTGCGCAGTTTCTACTCCACATTCTGTGAAGTTGATCTGGCTCTCCCAGGGCTGAGCTGCTGATAGTTAAGAGCTTTAAGCAAACATATGCCAGTATTCTTTGGTATACCCTTCTGCTATTACTGTTGGCCCATCCAGCACAGGAATATGGCCCTCAGGAGCGTCTCTAAATTGGAAATCGGCTGTTAGGCCGAAAGGCTCTGCTCTCCTGCCTGAGCGGATGCCAGCATTTAAAATGAGTAACTGCAGTAAGCAATGCCAATAATTCAGTGATATTTCCGAAGATGCTATTTAAAAGTCTTCAGTGTAATCTCTGCATACGATCGTTACAGACACATCATGTTAAATGCACAATCACTTTTAGTGTATGAGTGAAATCGGGGATTGTTAGTCTTTAGGCCTGTGGAATCTACTTAGGGTTTCTTTGGGGGGAGGGTCCCCCTAAGATTCCATGGTGCAAAGGAAGCACATTCAGAGGGAAAAAATTCTGAGCCCAGGAATTATTTTGAGTGCCAGAACTGGATGGAATTTGCAACTCTTCTGCACAAAAATTTACGTTTTGCCCACTCCTGGGACAGCAGGAACGCAACCAAGATTGCTCTCTTGCAATTTCTGTTCAGAATAAAAAATATCTCCCTGTAGTTTTCTTTACTAGCAACTCCCTCCTGCAGCAGTGGTAGAGCTTTTCATCCTGACCACTGGAGGAAAGGGCTAATTTCCCCCCTTGCCCAGTCCTGAATCCCAGAGCTACTTAATAACAACAAATACAGAGCCATGAAATGTGGGCACACGGTTCTTGCAATGCATCGTCTGGCTCCCTGGATGCATCCACAAGTTCACGAATTGGAATCAGCCATATTGTAATATGCACTTTGATTCACACCACATCCACACACACTAAGTGTGTGTGTACAAATCCTTATATGGCCTACCCAGCTGAAGGTATACTGGGAATTGTAGGAATGTTTAAACATGCCTTCGATGTTACAGCGACATAAGATTCGTTGCTGGTTTTGCTGCAATAGACTTCAGCAGAAACTGTTATTATATAGCTTTACAGCTTGGGAAGTTCTGTGCTTCTTCAATCTTTGTTTAAAGCTGCACTATGGCAGAAAAGAAAAAGGTAATGATCCTTGATGAAGGAGATCCCTCAAATCAGACCTAACAAGCCTGTTTAAACAAATGTCTCTTTATGAACTACAGCAACGTCTTAATAATCCAAGATTGTATGATGCTTTAGAAATGGAGGGGGTGTGAAAGGCAGCGATTCATGTCCATATGTAAAACCTCAATTTAATTTTGCTGAGTGAGAGGCCGTGACAGTGAGTCATTGGCAATTTGGCTAAATATGACCAGCCCTCCAAGAGGATGCTTTTGGAAACACGACCCATTTCTCCCTCGCTTCCCTCGTTACACAACCATCCCATGGGGGTGGGGGTGGCAGCAGAGAATTCAGACCGGACTACCAAGCTTATGCAACACACTGTTCTCCTGACCTACTTTCACTTAGGACTAAATAAACAGACTTTTGTGGAAATTCAAGAATAACACACCCATTTCACAGGCTGGGGAGAAGGGGTATCCTTGGTTGGTTTCCCTTACCACTTCTTCTGGAGTAGAAAGAGATGGCATGCAAGAAAATGAAGGGCTTTGGGTGTTTTGCTGATCTTAACATCTTCCAGTGGGAAATCTTAAGCTTAAGAGGAACAACAAGCTAAGCCTAGATCAAAACACAGATTACTGCTGCCAGCATCGCAGAAATGACAGATGCATTCTGTGACAATACTTAGGCTTTCTACAGCGCCTCCAAATAGCAATGCCAAGCGACAGTTCCGTCTTCTAAAGCACAAAACCACTGGGGGTAGCTGGCCATCTTCGTGAGAGGCTGCCAAAAGGTGGCTGGCGTAGACCTGGGGGACAGAGGATCTCTGCATGTGCCCCAATTCCCAAACTTAGCATATACTAGGCTGAAGCTGCCTGCACGTACAGTGAATCTTCTTAGCCAACGTGCAGTAGGGATACAACTGATTCTGACGAAATAGGCAGGATCCGAGTAGTAGAAACTCGGGTTCATAAGGTTACCAACTTTTCTCCAATGATCCCTTCTCCTCTGCCTGGAAATTAAGCCATCGAAGCATTAACCGTTCCTTTCTTTCTCATCTGCCACTGTGAACCTCATCTACTGAATTTCTACGAGAAATCAGGATTGGTTTTGTTTCTTAAGCTTTAGAAGCTGCAAACTGGTGGGAGTGACTGCGGCCCCCCCCCCTGCATATTTATGTCTGGATGGCTGCAGCGTCGAGGGGGATCTGCACGTGTGCACACACTGTCCCAGAGATCAAACCCAGCTCCCCAACACAACCCTTTCCCCCTTTCACGCGAGGAAAACGATCCATTCAGTTGCGAGTCGGCACGGGAAAAGGACCCGCGCTAGACACGCGCGGGCAAACGGGACAGCGGCACCACCGGCCGCCTGGAGTTGCGCGGGGGAAAGGAGGGCACCGCGGGCCCCTCCTGTCCCGGACCGGGCGCGGGGAGCGAGGTTACCTAAGCGGACCGCTTCGTCGTAGCGCTGAAGGGCGGCCTGCAGCTTCCCCTCCTTGTACAAGAGGGTCCCCTCGTGCCGGAGCCGCGACGCCTTCACCCGCTCGGGGAACCACTTCGCCAGCAGGCCGCTCAGCACGACGTTGACCCGGAGCCGCGGCCGCGCGCCCGCGGAGCCCGCCGCCGGGCAGAGGCTGCAGAGCGCCGCCCGGGCCCGCGGCCCCTCCAGGCACGCCTTGCAGAACGTGTGTCCGCACGGCAGCGAGACGGGCTCGTGCAGGAAGCCGTGGCACTGGCGGCACCCGAACCAGGGCTGGCCGCCCGCCGCGCCCCCGCCGCCGCCGCCCGCCGGGCCGCCGCCGAGGCGGCGCGCCAGGCCGTCCACCAGCTCGCCC